AATGGCTTGTTTGTATACTGTAGCTCTGATTGGTCTACTGTAGCTCTGATTGACTATTTTATTTTATTTTTTATCTTTATTTAACTAGGCAAGTCAGTTAAGAACAAATTCTTATTTACAATGACGGCCTACACCGGCCAAACCCGGACGACGCTGGGCCAATTGTGCGCCGCCCTATGGGACTCCCAATCACAGCTGGTTGTGATACAGCCTGGAATCGAACCAGGGGGTCTGTAGTGACGCCTCAAGCACTGAGATGCAGTGCCTTAGACCACTGCGCCACTCGGGAGCCCACTATAGCCCACTGGTCTGTGTAGACTCCGGTCCTGGACAAGACAGATGTTTTTATTTGGTTTTATTTGCTGCAGTGTCTATTAATTGGCCAAACGCACGGCCGCTTTCCCACTCTATATTGCTATAACATTTTCACAAATGCCTTAATTCCCAATTTTTTGCCTTCATTCCCAATTTTTTTTAAACAAAAGTCTCACATTCTTCCTGGGGTGTACAGTGAGGGGAAAAAAGTATTTGATCCCCTGCTGATTTTGTATGTTTGCCCACTGACAAATAAATGATCAGTCTATAATTTTAATGGTAGGTTTATTTGAACAGTGAGAGACAGAATAACAACAAAAAAATCCAGAAAAACGCATTTCAAAAATGTTATAAATTGATTTGCATGAGGGATTTAATGAGGGAAATACGTATTTGACCCCCTCTCAATTCGAAGGATTTCTGGCACAGTTCCACTCACCAGATGATGATCATTTGAAACTTAACTTCTTCTTGAAATGTATTATTGAAAAGGGAGAAGGCAATAAATGATCAACATTCTCTTTGATAACACCTGCTGCAGCCGCTGCAAACTAGCCAACATCAAAAGCTAAAGCTAGACAGTGCAAAAACTACTGCTCGCTATTGTGCAGTGACCTGTTGGCCTTCAAGAAGGCAGAAATGTCCATACTTTTTGTAAAACATGTCCCACTCATTAAGTCAACATGTGATTGGTTGATTCCACTGTCACTCCAAAATGTTGCCCTAATACAGTTGAATGGCAGATGCCTTTATCTAGCTTCTAATGGCCTAGCCAATGGCTGATTTAGCTAGCTAGATTTATCTCTCCAGAGACCAGCAAAGAAAAATCCTGATTGGATATTTTTTTCTCTTCAGTGTTAACCCTTTCCTTTTCAACAAAAACTGAAGAGATTAAATCAGAACATCATTGAAAATAATATAATTATCATTATAATCATTTTATAATTCCTTAACCTGTCTCTGAAGGTGTAGAAGGCCCATTGTTCCCCACTGTTTTTGGGTTTGTAATAATATGTAGAGTGGCTTTATTTTCCCTCAGCATGCATGTTTTTCACAATTCTGAATGTCTAAAGAATCCATATGTTGTTATGAAATATGAACACAGAAATACTGGACATTTTGAACTCTTATTATGGTGGTGACTTGACAAAATTACAATCATGGTTTTGAATTGGACTCGGTCTAGGACCTCTTGTCCCCCTCCTGGTCTCAGTCTTGACTCTGTCTCGCTTTAGGTGGTCTCGAACACAACACTGGCCTACAGACAAGACAGTAAGGTCTGGCTGTGGATGGATTTGTGAATTCAGCAACATTTTCCAGTAATACCTCTTTTACAGTATAATCAACACAATAAATCATGAAGCAGTTTGACTTGTATGACAAGCCCTTGTCTCCTAAAAATGTCCTCCATGTCACTTGGTGCAGGCAAGTTTGTCTAGGTCACACAAGTTGAGGCCGCTCTCGGTCATCTCTGCATGGACATCTCTCCTCCAAGTGTTCCTGGGTTGACCTGTTTCGTTTCCCCTGGGGGTTCCATTTCAGGAAATCGTGAACCTCTAGGGAAAAACTGGACATGAATCCATTGAACTACTAATAAAATGAAGTGGAGTTGGATTGGACACGCCCTACAGAAACCGGCCACCAACATCACTCACCAGTCCCTGAAATGGAAGTAGTTTATTTTCATGCATCTTTAGTTTCTAACAATATACTCATGAGTCCAACACAAAATGTCTGTCATCAGACTGCCAAAGCAGAGTTTATACACCCAAAGTGCACTCCTCTGTCATTTAAAAGGAGAGAGGGAGCGAGTGGGAGGCAGAGTGGGCGAGAGGAGAGGGAAGAGATGAGCTACAAAAGAGGGGGGAGGGGTGAAGCTACAACGCATGGAGATGTCAGTGAGGAGAGAGGAGAGCAACCGAGGAACGTAACATAGGCAGAGAAAGAGCATGGAACAGGAGGGGAGGGAAGGTGAGGTGTGTGGGAGAGGGGAAGACCTTGGAGAGATTGATTACAGGAGGAATAGAGTGGCAGAGATCACGTGTCAGAGGGAGAAATAGGGAGTGAAGTCTTGTGTGTTAATTTAACATGCTACCATTCTGTTCAGTTGTCAGGCTCATCATATACCAGGTGAGACCTGGGATTTTTTTTCTTCTTCTTATATACAGTACCAGTCAAAAGTTTGAACACACCTACTCATTCCAGGGTTTTTCTTAATTTTTTACTATTTTCTACATTGTAGAATAATAGTGAAGACATCAAAACTATGAAATAACACATACGGAATCATGTAGTAACCAAACAAAGTGTTAAACAAATTAAAATATATTTTATATTTGAGATTCTTCAAAGTAGCCACCCTTTGCCTTGATGACAACTTTGCACACTCTTGGCATTCTCTCAACTAGCTTCATGAGGTAGTCACCTGGAATGCATTTCAATTAACAGGTGTGCCTTGTTAAAATTTAATTTGTGGAATTTCTTTCCTTCTTAATGCGTTTGAGCCAATCAGTTGTGTTGTGACAAGGTAGGGGTGGTATACAGCCCTATTTGGTAAAAGACCAAGTCCATATTATGGCAAGAACAGCTCAAATAAGCAAAGAGAAATGACAGTCCATCATTACTTTAAGACATGAAGGTCAGTCAATACGGAACATTTAAAGAACTTTGAAAGTTTCTTCAAGTGCAGTAGCAAAAACCATCAAGTGCTATGATGAAACTGGCTCTCATGAGGACCGCCACAGGAAAGGAAGACCCAGAGTTACCTCTGCTGGAGAGGATAAGTTCATTAGAGTTAACTGCACCTCAGATTGCAGCCCAAATAAATGCTTCACAGAGTTCAAGTAACAGACACATCTCAACATCAACTGTTCAGAGGAGACTGCATGAACCAGGCCTTCATGGTCAAATTGCTGCAAAGAAACCACTACTAAGGACACCAATAAGAAGAGACTTGCTTGGGCCAAGAAACACGAGCAATGGACATTAGACCGGTGGAAATCTGTCCTTTGGTCTGATGAACCCAAATTTGAGATTTTTGGTTCCAACCGCCGTGTCATTGTGAGACGCAGAGTAGGTGAACGGATGCTCTCCGCATGTGTGGTTACCACTGTGAAGAATAGATGTGGTGTGATGGTGCTTTGCTGGTGACACTGATTTATTTAGAATTCAAGGCACGATTAACCAGCATAGCTACCACAGCATTCTGCAGCGATACACCATCCCATCTGGTTTGTGCTTAGTGGGACTATCATTTGTTTTTTATCGGGACAATGACACAACACACCTCCAGGCTGTGTAATGGCTATTTGACCAAGATGGAGTGATGGAGTGCTGCATCAGATGACCTGGCCTCCACAATCACCCGACCTCAACCCAATTGAGATGGTTTGGGATGAGTTGGACCGCAGAGTGAAGGAAAAGCAGCCAACAAGTGCTCAGCATATGTGGGAACTCCTTCAAGACTGTTGGAAAAGCATTCCAGGTGAAGCTGGTTGAGAGAATGCCAAGAGTGTGCCAAAGCTGTCATCAAGGCAAAGGTGTGCTATTTGAAGAATCTCAAATATAAAATATATTTTGATTTGTTTAACACTTTCTTGGTTACATGATTCAATGTGTTATTTCATAGTTTTGATGTCTTCACTATTAAAAATAAAGAAAAACCCTTGAATGAGTAGGTGTCCAAACTTTTGACTGGTGATATATATATATATATATATATATATATATAACATGTTTCCAAGAAAAGTGAAAAAAATTATTTTCTAAGTGCAAAATTGTCCTCTGTAGTAGTCAATATGTAAATATGAAAAAGTAACATTAGTAAATGGGTACAGTAGGTGAAAAACAGTTTCGGCATCCGGGTGTCCACTACAGAGGACATTTCTGGGAAAGCTTATTTAGCTATTATTTAATGTGAGAAGAAAAAAATCACAGACCTGACAACTCACTTAGCTATTCCTGAGTTATTCACTTACTAGAAACAATTTGAATAAACTCAGATGATTACACTTATTTTCATAAAATGTGTACTTTAACAGCAGCCATTTTCCTAAGAAACAGGAAGATAAAGTCAAGGTCACACCCCCACACGTGATATAATTGAAAAACCCAATGTCCTCTCAAACAGGATTTAGTGGCTTAGATACAGACCAAGAACTGATGTCCACTAGAGATGACAAAAATGAATTGCTGGGTCTCAGGAGGATTTAGGTTAAAACTGTTTAACAGGTTTAATAACAGGTGGGATTACATAATATTTCAAACTGGCAGAAATAGGAGAGCATGGAAGATTGTGAAGAGTAAGAACAGTAGCAACACTGTCTAGCCAAGCTGTGACAGTCCACCAACCTGAACACACACTATTTCACTGACCAAACACACATAATGCAAGAGGGGCATTCAATACTCCTTGTAATGAGGGCATAAATCTGACTCCACTTGCAAACACACACATGGATGACAGAGGTTGTGTGGTTCACACCAAAGGTTTATTAAAAGTCTTGATTCAGCTACATCAGTTACAAAAAGACTGAGTCAAAGTACTTAGTGCTGACAAGAGCAACAATACAAAACATTTATAAAAAATTAAAAATAAGTAGAGATTTGAAACTTTAAAAGACGACAAAACAATAGAACATGTGACATACAAACTAAAAGCAGAGGAAGAGAGGATGAGAGAGGGATCAGTGTCGGAGACGAGCACGTCGAGAGGTGCGGGCGATGGGTGTGGTCACCTTGGGTGTCTCGCTCTCTGCCATGACAGCGTCTGATTGGGTGAAAACAAACAAATATCAGTGACGTGTTCATTTGAGCAGGAACAACTAACCAGATGTTCCCAACAGTAAATGCTATGAAATTGCAAGGATTAAGACAAATATGACATTTCATTCACTGGGCCCAAGTGTATTCCATGACAACATCCTGGGAAGCCAGCACCAAAAATCTACTGAAAGCATGAATCAGTTTATATGCTTTCCATCAATTTAAATGAAAAGCACTGCCAACACTCAGACTAAAACAGCTTGTACTGTTAGAAAGTGCAGACACCTTCTTCCTCTTCGTCACTGCTGAAGGTGATAACAGCTTTCTTAGAGGACTTCCGGGTAGGTTTGGGGGTCACAAAGCTATCGTCATGGCGACTGGATACAGAGGGCTTGGCTTGACCTTTGAGGGGAGAGAAATGAAGAATGAGGGACAGAAAGAGAATCATGGAACATTAGCTAAAGTATATGTAACTGGCAAAAAAAAAAAAAAAAAAGAGGGAACAATTCACTGTCTACCAGAAAAGGAACTACAAGTGTGCGCGCTGACCTCTCTTGGGCCTGCCACCCCGTCCCTTGTTGGGTAGCGGTGTGTTTGTGGTGGTGTTTTGGCTGGGCCCTGCTCCCTCGGAACGGTTCTTCTCCTCCATCTCAGAGCTCTCTACGTTCTCCAGTCCCCGGGTGTGGACCGCCGTCAGACGCTTCTCAAACTCCTCCACCTGGGCCTGGGCACAAAGAAGAGACAGCAGAATCAGAATGACTGTCAGAACAATACCCGGCATTAATTTAGAGGCAGAGTCAAGAAATCAGAAATAAGTCTGGATAGTCAGAAAGAGTCAAGATAATGCATAGTCTCTCACTTGTCCCAAGTTCAGTGTTATGTATATCTGAATGGGGGGAGGGGGAGCTAAGGGCTTTCTTATGTCGTTTGAACAGCTGTGAAAAATTATTCTGCTGGTCAATACATATGACCACCATCATCATCAGTACCTTGAGCTGTGGCTTGGCTCCTCGGCGTAGCTTAGCGGTGATGGAGAGGAGAGGCTGGTAGACTCCTGTCTCAGTCAGCTTGTCGCTGTAACACTCCCAACACTCCTGGAGCCTCTTCAGCCCTCGCTCACACATAGACAGCAGAGACAGAGACACGGCCAGGTCACACCACTGACGCTCAGTCCTGGAGAGAGAATTGGGGGGAGGGGGGGAGAGAGGTGGGGGCGGAGTGAGACAGAGGAAATTTGATTATTTACTTAGAACAAATAGTATTTCAAGAACAGAGGAAGTCTGACCTGGCATTTGGAAAAATCATATTCTCCGCCCATGGTCTCGCTGATTCACTCTGTGTGTCTGTCTGTGGCTTAATCTAAAATGCCCTTTCTGTGGAGGTCTGTGCTTTGAATGACGAGCCAGAAAGACAGTTGGCCCTGAGTTCGCTGAACAGATGACCCAGGCCTCGAATACTCCTGAGACAGAGGAACTAATGCCAGCAGTTATGACACGGAGTGGGAGAATAGAAATGAGGAGATAGGAAGGAAGACGTGCTGCTCACTTTGCTGTCCTGAAGCGCTGACACAGCTTCTCCACCAGAGACTCAGTCTGTCTCTCCTTAGTGATGTAGGAAAATAGCTGCCTGAAAACAGAGACAAAGGAGGGAACCATTAAAATACCACTCACATATTAGCATCCCATTTCCATGTTATTCAGCTCTCAGCGCAACAGGTTTCAAACCAGAGTCACGTGTGACCCCTGCCTGCCAAGTCAACAACAGAGTGTGTAAAGCCTGGGAGAGAACACAGTGGGCGACAGACACACAAGTTAAGTAGCCCTCAGATTATTAAAGTCGCGCTCACGGGTATTTGAATAACAGAACAATGACTCCCTGCCAGACACACACTATACTGATCACAACACTCAACATACACAGTGAGAGCAGAAGAGGCACACAGCTCACAGTGTGGACACACTTCACTCACTTCATGATGGTGTGGAAGTCTTCCTCGTTCATGCCCCTCTCTGGGTCTGACAGTCTGCTGATGATGTCTGGGAGCAGGTTGTAGATAGCATTGTCCTGGGAGGAGACGAGACAAAGGAGACGCCACTGTCTAGTTTAGAACATTGGAGGATCCATTCCCTCAGTCTACGTAAAAGGTCCCCAAACACACCAACTCAGATTTATATTCCAATCAAATAGAAATGGCCTGTGTGTGAAATTAATGCTGTTGTGTGTACCTTGGAGGCGAGCTCGTTGAAGAAGTTGAGTGCGAGGCTGGCGATGTGTGTCTGGGGGTCGATGAGCAGCACGGCCACCTCGCTGACCTGACCTTTGACCTTCAGCACATCCTTCAGCACTAGCTGGGTCAGAACAGTCACCGCTGTCTGCCTAACCGCCGGGTTCTCATCACTCAGCCTGGGCAGGGGAGACGGGGACATATTATAAGACGAGACGAGGACGTTATATGACGAAACAATATTATTTAAATGGAATGCAGGTTTACGCTCTAATCAGGATCAGCTGGGATACCATGTAACAGAGACTAACCAATCAATGACATGTTAGATTCAGCAATCACCTACCAGGGTGAAAATACGACCAGCAATACATTGGACCTGGAGGCTTAGAAGCCAATACCCCTGACTGGCATAGACCACCGCAGTGTCTCCCTGGCCTCCATTGTTCTAACCAGGGGAATTAATTAACCGCATACATTGGGAAGTGATGTGAGGCCAGGGGGAAAAAAAAACTATATATGCAACTTCTCCTCCAGTAGTGGATTAGGACGTTTTGCAGCGGAACCAGACTCGTGTGTGTGGTCTGCTATACATTAGACGGTCATAAGCCACAGCTTCAGTATAAGTAACTAGGCCTGTAAAACAGTGCATTACAATTAGAGTAAAGTATGTGTAATACCCTTATCAGGCCTCTCCCAGGGAGGGCTGTGTCTTTGAGGAAAGCCCAACACAATGGAGGTGTGTGGGAGACAATTACTGAACGCTATGCAACACTTACCATTAGGAAAAACCTGCGGATTAGTGTTCATAGTGAAAAGCACTATTCATCTGAAAACAATAACCAAGCATCATAATAATTAGCACTATACAAAGACAAAAACTGAACTTGTGGAATGAAGAGAGATAACAAATTGTAATTATACTTTCAATGGGAGAGAGGGGGTATGGCTTCAGTGCATCTCAATGTGGGAGGAACAACCACCAATCATCATTAAGCTTTCTTCAATTAAGTCCCCATCCTTCCTACGGAGTATAACCTATGGCATCACCTGAAACTATCCCCTTGTTTCTCCCTCCGATCTACACATTGTATAATTATACCACCATCAACTAGTTCTGGACACAATCAGAACATTGAGGGAGGAGACATGCCAGTAATTCAAGTTGTTCTAGGCCTTACATGTCTTAGACAATTCTAGTTATTTTTGTTCAGTTCAAATGGTTTTATTTTTGAGAGTGAGTGCGCACGAGCAGACCATGGTTGCCACAGTCCAGAAGAGCGGTTGGAGTTCTGAAGTGCACAGTACACTGTGCTGAGTCGCTATAGCAACATCAGCAGAGGTCAGAATGCTAGAGAAGGAAATGACAGAATTTTCCAACGCTTCGTATTGTTTTCCCCCCTGTTATGAACATATGGAAATAACTTTTTCGATCAACTGGTTCAGTAGACTGCAGCAGCAGAAGGACTTGAGCGTCTGAAGGAACAACATTAGCAGACAGGGAACAAACTTGTAGCCCTCAGCCAGCCTCATCTAATTGCCATGTTTACCAAAATTAAAAATCCACACAATCCATAGTACACACAGCTGGGTAATTAAATAAAGATCAGCTTGTTTGCTACTGCCATATTCTAAACTATAAACGAGTTCTATTAGCTGCTTGGTTAATCTTTAGTCACTGAATGACAGTGCATTGTGGGGGTGCACACCTGTTATAGAGCCTCTGGGTTCAGGTGTGTGTTACCTGGCATAGAGCCTCTGGGTTCAGGTGAGTGTTACTTGTTATAGAGCCTCTGGGTTCAGGTGTGTTTTACCTGTTATAGAGCCTCTGGGTTCAGGTGTGTGTTACCTGGCATAGAGCCTCCCGGGTTTTAGGTGTGTGTTACCTGGCTAGAGCCTCTGGGTTTTAGGTGTGTTGTTACCTGGCATAGAGCCTCTCTGGGTTTTAGGTGTGTGTTACCTGGCATAGAGCCTCTGGGTTCAGGTGTGTGTTACCTGGCATAGAGCCTCTGGGTTCAGGTGTGTGTTACCTGGCATAGAGCCTCTGGGTTCAGGTGTGTGTTACCTGGCAGAGCCTCTGGGTTCAGGTGTGGGGTTTTCCTGGCAAAAGCCTCTGGTTCAGGTGTGTGTACCTGGCATGAGCCTCTGGGTTCAGGTGTGTGTTACCTGTTTTTAGAGCCTCTGGGGTTTAGTTGTGGTTACCTGTTATAGAGCCTCTGGGTTCAGGTGTGTGTTACCTGTTATAGAGCCTCTGGGTTCAGGTGTGTGTTACCTGTTATAGAGCCTCTGGGTTCAGGTGTGTGTTATCTGTTATAGAGCCTCTGGGTTCAGGTGTGTGTTATCTGTTAGAGCCTCTGGGTTTTAGGTTGTGTTTACCCGTTTATAGAGCCTCTGGGTTCAGGGTGTGTGTTATCTGTTTTAAGAGCCTCTGGGTTCAGGTGTTTGGATTACCTGGTGTAGAGGTTCTGAGTCCAGGGTTTTCCGGATTTTGGGGAAGCGGAGGTGAGATCTCCCAGGCCGATGATGGCGTTGGCCCGGACGACGGGGAGAGAGGAACCCTCCAGCACCGTGTGGAGACGGATGGCTCCTCACACACGAGGAGACAGAGGAGGGGGGGCGAGGTTAAACCAGCGGGAGAGGGCTGAATTTTAAAACACACAGCAACACAGCCATCCCACAAAAAGGGAAAATTAAAAAAACAAGGGTTTCTGACCTGATCATCAGTCTGGGGAGGGCCAGGCAGGCAGGGGGGTGAGGGGGGTGGCAGTATCTCCCTGGGGAACTACACACCCTCACCAGCAGGGGCAGGAACGAGCACAACAGGTTCTCCTCTGACAGAGAGGGGGGATGTGGTTGTCAAGGCAACTAAATCACATCAGGAAAAATTAGTTAGTTTTGAAAAAGTTAGGCCTTTCTTACCAGCCAGCAGCTCAGTCTCACAGATCTTCCTGATCAGCTCTGCCTCTGTGTCCTCAGCAGAAGCACCCATCAACCCAAGTTCCTCCTCCACAGAACTGTCATTGGCCGCTTGCTGTGGGAAACATGGATCATGACCGTTGATTAAAAACTCCCTGTTCATGTCTTCTTGTCTACTGGAAAGTTAGAGCGATTTAATCTAAAAGGAGCAACTTGGAAGAAGTTAGCTATTGTTCTAAGCCCCCTGATGGGAAGAATCATCAAGCCCTGTCAATCACTGTGTTGCGTGACCAAAATTAAACTCATCAAGCTTTTCCCAGGGAGCAAAGTCACTGATTGGCAAGATAATAATCGTGCTCACCAGGAGACTCACATGGTCTCTTCACTAATCAACATCCTGTTCTGATAACATTTGGTTTATGAAATGCAATGAGAATCAATTTGACACATTCTAAAAGCTTCTTAAACCCAGAACATTTTTATAAATCTAGCAGTCTCATTACCACTAGGTTTGCAGTATCCTAATCTCATGATTGACCATTATGTGAATTATTGCCATCATTAGTTTGGATTGCCTAAAAATACTGGACATCATAAATTGTGTTCTCATTCCATGTCAGACCGACTGACCTTTGCCTTACGGGAGGGTCCCTTGGCCTTCTCCTCCCTCTCTTCGGTCTCTCCTCTCCTCCTCCGCAGCTCAGAGCTGACGCTGCGCTCCAGGTGGGACACCTGCCAGAACGCCACGCAGCCACACAGAGAAAGCAGCTGGGCCAGGGACGCGCAGCTCACTGCAGGGACTAGAGGGACACATCACTATAACACTGTACTGATCATAATGTACTAATACAAAATACTAGTCATTATAATACGCTAGAACACTGGCAGAGGTTCAACAACTAGGCACAGTGAAAGAGAACCAGACAACTGTAGAAAGTAATCTGTTCATACTACTTTGAAGTTGTTTTACCAGAGTGCACTAACTTTCTAAATAAATATCCACCCAGTCTCTCACCTTGTTCTCCCTGCTCCTCAAGGTCCTGAGATGCACCTTGCAATTGGCTGACATCCTTGTTTGCTAACATCTCCCCGCCCTCTGCGATCTGGTCCAATAGCAGGCGAGAGCAGCGCTGGAGGAGGCGGGAGCAGAGCTGGTCTGGGGACTCGGCTAGGAAGTACAGCAGACGGACAGCCTGCTCCATGAAGCTCTGCCAATGAGGGTCCGCCATCACCACACCTGGGGCGGGACCAGACAGATAGTCAGTAAGACATAGTCAGGGACAGAGACACTACATTCTCCCACTCAAGAGATGGTGTGTGTGTGTGTGTGTGTACCTTCAGCGATGGCCTGTGTGAGGCAGGTAAAGAGCTGGTGGTCCTGAGGCAGTCTGAATGGAGGTCCTTTGGATTGCTGGGGGGGAGGGGCACAATTCAACTCAATCACGTCACACACTTCAAACATTAAGAGGACCTCTATAGGCTGACCCCATTTAGTTGGCTGGTCGATTGTTTAGTCAATAGGGTGTTAGAGATTTCTTTAGACAAGCAGTTGCAAATATATATTTTTCATGGGGCACAAGACACCTGCTGATTCCTTGTCTCAATGGACTAAACCTTGCAGAGGCCACAGTTCTCCTCGAAGACATGACTACGAATTGGTTTATTTGAAGAATAAAGGGCAAACTAATAAATATATATTATTTTACCCAAAAAAATGTGCTTCTCCCCATGGATAGGTTCGCTGTCGCGGTTCGAATGTCATCTTTAGTGTGCGAAAAAGTTGACCCAGCTAAACATATAATGTAATGGTAGGTTTATTTGAACAGTGAGAGACAGAAAACAATAAAAAACCAGAAAACGCATGTCAAAAATTTTATAAATTGATTTGCATTTTAATGAGGGAAATAAGTATTTGACCCCTCTGCAAAAACATGACTTAGTACTTGGTGGCAAAACCCTTGTTGGCAATCACAGTGGTCAGACGTTTCTTGTAGTTGGCCACCAGGTTTGCACACATCTCAGGAGGGATTTTGTCCCACTCCTCTTTACAGATCTTCTCCAAGTCATTAAGGTTTCGAGCCTGACGTTTGGCAACTCGAACCTTCAGCTCCCTCCACAGATTTTCCATGGGATTAAGGTCTGGAGACTGGCTAGGCCACTCCAGGACCTTAATGTGCTTCTTCTTGAGCCACTCCTTTGTTGCCTTGGCCGTGTGTTTTGGGTCATTGTCATGATGGAATACCCATCCACAACCCATTTTCAATGCCCTGGCTGAGGGAAGGAGGTTCTCACCCAAGATTTGGCGGTGCATGGCCCCGTCCATCATCCCTTTGATGCGGTGAAGTTGTCCCGTCCCCTTAGCAGAAAAACACCCCCAAAGCATAATGTTTCCTCATCCATGTTTGACGGTGGGGATGGTGTTCTTGGGGTCATAGACAGCAATCCTCCTCCTCCAAACACGGCGAGTTGAGTTGATGCCAAAGAGCTCAATTTTGGTCTCACACTTTCACCCAGTTCTCCTCTGAATCATTCAGATGTTCATTGGCAAACTTAAGACGGCCCTGTATATGTGCTTTCTTGAGCAGGGGGACCTTGCGGGCGCTGCAGGATTTCAGTCCTTCACGGCATAGTGTGTTACCAATTGTTTTCTTGGTGACTATGGTCCCAGCTGCCTTGAGATCATTAACAAGATCCTCCCGTGTAGTTCTGGGCTGATTCCTCACCGTTCTCATGATCATTGCAACTCCACGAGGTGAGATCTTGCATGGAGCCCCAGGCCGAGGGAGATTGACAGGTCTTTTTGTGTTTCTTCCATTTGCGAATAATCGCACCAACTGTTGTCACCTTCTCACCAAGCTGCTTGGCGATGGTCTTGTAGCCCATTCCAGCCTTGTGTAGGTCTACAATTTTGTCCCTGACATCCTTGGAGAGCTCTTTGGTCTTGGCCATGGTGGAGAGTTTGGAATCTGATTGATTGATTGCTTCTGTGGACAGGTGTCTTTTTTACAGGTAACAAGCTGATATTAGGAGCACTCCTAGGTGTGTGCTCCTAATCTCAGCTCGTTACCTGTATAAAAGACACCTGGGAGCCAGAACTCTTTCTGATTGAGAGGGGGTCAAATACTTATTTTCCTCATTAAAATGCAAATCAATTTATAAATTTTTGACATGCGTATTTCTGGATTTTTTTATTGTTATTCTGTCTCTCACTGTTCAAATAAACCTACCATTAAAATTATAGACTGATCATTTCTTTGTCAGTGGGAAAACGTACAAAATCAGCAGGGGATCAAATACTTTTTTCCCTCACTGTAGCTTGTTTTTGGACACAGGTCCAGGAATGGCTAAAGGATTGCAATATTTACCTGGAACTAACCTTGCAGATAGCATTACTGGGTGATCTGAAAAGTCATAGTCAATCAATCAATAATATAATAATACTTTTAGCAAAAATGTTTATTTTTAATTCACAATCTGTAGAAGCAATGAGAATAGAAAGGTTCAGAACTTTTGTAAAACATCACAGTACGGTTGAAATATATATGGCAAATAGAAATCCTATATGGATGTGTTAAGAGATAGATGGGAGGTATTGAATAGAGTTGAAGGATGGGACTAATAACAAATAACAACAAATAATAACAAAGATAGCTAATAATGTAAGCATACTGTGTCCATAATAAGTATATAGGTTGTATGTTGGGAGCTTTTGGGAAAGAGCACAGTTAGAAAGATATGGCATTTAGAAGCAAACCGGATGGACATCATGAAAATGATCGGAGAGGTTGAGAGTAGAAGTTCAGGAGCAAAAAAATAAATAAATAAATATATATATATATATATATATATATATATAGATATAGAATTATTGTAAAATTAACTCTGTCCATAAGGTGTAGATAGTAAGTATAGACCGGAAGTAGAGGCCTGGGCGTTGTTGTTCACTAATTTACTCCAAGTAGGGAAAGGATGGTGGGGTTGAAAAGTAATAAAGGGGAATATATATAAAAAATAAAAAAAAACATGGGGGGATTGGAAGTGATGCAGACAATTACATTGATAGAAGATACAATCTATCTGCAATATTAAGCTGATCCACCCCCCCCCCCAAAAAAATAAAAAATAAAAATAAAAAATAAAAATAAAAAAAACATCAGCAGAGGTCAGAATGCTAGAGAAGGACGTGACAGAATTTTCCAACGCTTCGTATTGTTTTTCCCCCTGTTATGAACATATGGAAATAACTTTTTCGATCAACTGGTTCAGTAGACTGCAGCAGCAGAAGGACTTGAGCGTCTGAAGGAACAACATTAGCAGACAGGGAACAAGCTTGTAGCCCTCAGCCAGCCTCATCTAATTGCCATGTTTACCAAAATTAAAAATCCACACAATCCATAGTACACACAGCTGGGTAATTAAATAAAGATCAGCTTGTTTGCTACTGCCATATTCTAAACTATAAACGAGTTCTATTAGCTGCTTGGTTAATCTTTAGTCACTGAATGACAGTGCATTGTGGGGGTGCACACCTGTTATAGAGCCTCTGGGTTCAGGTGTGTGTTACCTGGCGTAGAGCCTCTGGGTTCAGGTGTGTGTTACCTGGCGTAGAGCCTCTGGGTTCAGGTGTGTGTTACCTGGCGTAGAGCCTCTGGGTTCAGGTGTGTGTTACCTGGCGTAGAGCCCCTGGGTTCAGGTGTGTGTTACCTGGCGTAGAGCCCCTGGGTTCAGGTGTGTGTTACCTGGCGTAGAGCCCCTGGGTTCAGGTGTGTATTACCTGGCGTAGAGCCCCTGGGTTCAGGTGTGTGTTACCTGTTATAGAGCCTCTGGGTTCAGGTGTGTTGCCTGTTATAGAGCCTCTGGGTTCAGGTGTGTGTTACCTGTTATAGAGGCTCTGGGTTCAGGTGTTTGGATTACCTGGTGTAGAGGTTCTGAGTCCAGGGCTCCAGGATGTTTGGGAAGCGGACGGTGAGATCTCCCAGGCCGATGATGGCGTTGGCCCGGACGACGGGCAGAGAGGAACGCTCCAGCACCGTGAATAGGAGACGGATGTGCTCCTCACACACTGACGGACTGAGAGAGGAGAGGGGGCAGAGGTTAAACTCGCAGCAGGAGAGGGCTGAAGTTACAACACACAGACAACACAGCCATACCACACAAAGGAAAATTATAGAAAAACAATGTAGTCTGACCTGATCATCATGTACTGTGAGAGGGCCAGGCAGGCAGCGGTGGTGAGCTGGGGGTGGCAGTATCTCCCTGGGGAACTACACACCCTCACCAGCAGGGGCAGGAACGAGCACAACAGGTTCTCCTCTGACAGAGAGGGGGGATGTGGTTGTCAAGGCAACTAAATCACATCAGGAAAAATGAGTTAGTTTTGAAAAAGTTAGGCCTTTCTTACCAGCCAGCAGCTCAGTCTCACAGATCTTCCTGATCAGCTCTGCCTCTGTGTCCTCAGCAGAAGCACCCATCAACCCAAGTTCCTCCTCCACAGAACTGTCATTGGCCGCTTGCTGTGGGAAACATGGATCATGACCGTTGATTAAAAACTCCCTGTTCATGTCTTCTTGTCTACTGGAAAGTTAGAGCGATTTAATCTAAAAGGAGCAACTTGGAAGAAGTTAGCTATTGTTCTAAGCCCCCCGATGGGAAGAATCATCAAGCCCTGTCAATCACTGTGTTGCGTGACCAAAATTAAACTCATCAAGCTTTTCCCAGGGAGCAAAGTCACTGATTGGCAAGATAATAATCGTGCTCACCAGGAGACTCACATGGTCTCTTCACTAATCAACATCCTGTTCTGATAACATTTGGTTTATGAAATGCAATGAGAATCAATTTGACACATTCTAAAAGCTTCTTAAACCCAGAACATTTGTATAAATCTAGCAGTCTCATTACCACTAGGTTTGCAGTATCCTAATATCATGATTGACCATTATGTGAATTATTGCCATCATTAGTTTGGATTGCCTAAAAATACTGGACATCATAAATGTTGTGTTCTCATTCCATGTCAGACCGACTGACCTTTGCCTTACGGGAGGGTCCCTTGGCCTTCTCCTCCCTCTCTTCGGTCTCTCCTCTCCTCCTCCGCAGCTCAGAGCTGACGCTGCGCTCCAGGTGGGACACCTGCCAGAACGCCACGCAGCCACACAGAGAAAGCAGCTGGGCCAGGGACGCGCAGCTCACTGCAGGGACTAGAGGGACAGGGGCACACATCACTATAACACTGTACTGATCATAATGTACTAATACAAAATACTAGTCATCATAATACGCTAGAACACTGGCACAGGTTCAACAACTAGGCACAGTGAAAGAGAACCAGACAACTGTAGAAAGTAATCTGTTCATACTACTTTGTGAAGTTGTTTTACCAGAGTGCACTAACTTTCTAAATAAATATCACCCAGTCGCTCACCTTGTTCTCCTTGCTCCTCAGGGTCCTGAGATGCACCTTGCAATTGGCTGACATCCTTGTTTGCTAACATCTCCCCGCCCTCTGCGATCTGGTCCAATAGCAGGCGAGAGCAGCGCTGGAGGAGGCGGGAGCAGAGCTGGTCTGGGGACTCGGCTAGGAAGTACAGCAGACGGACAGCCTGCTCCATGAAGCTCTGCCAATGAGGGTCCGCCATCACCACACCTGGGGTGGGACAAGACACACAGTCAGTAAGACACAGTCAGGGACAGAGACACTACATTCTCCCACTCAAGAGATGGTGTGGGTGTGTGTGTACCTTCAGCGATGGCCTGTGTGAGGCAGGTAAAGAGCTGGTGGTCCTGAGGCAGTCTGAATGGAGCTCCTTTGGATTGCTGGGGGGGAGGGACACAATTCAACTCAATCACGTCACACACTTCAAACATTAAGAGTGACCTCTATAGGGCTGACCCCATTTAGTTGGCTGGTCGATTGTTTAGTCAATAGGCTGTTTGTCAGAGATTTCTTTAGACAAGCAGTTGCAAATATATATTTTTCATGGTGCACAAGACACCTGTCTGATTCCTGCCTGTCTCAATGGACTAAACCATTGCAGAGGCCACAGGGATGGCACAGTTCATCACTCGAAGACATGAGCTACTGAAATTGGTTATATTTTGTAAGAATAATGGTGCAACACTAATAAATATAATATTATTTTACCAAAAAAAAATGTGCTTTCTCCCGCAATGGATAGCGGTCGCTGTCCGCGGTTCTGAAATGTCATCTTTAGTGTGCCGTTGAATTGGTTCCTTTCCCTCTATGTTGCTATGTGCATAATAGCGAAGTTAACCAGCAAACTGGTGTTGAGAACAATGTGGCGGAGGCAGCAGCGGAGTGAGGACACGAGAAAATAGCCCTTGCCTTAATTGTCTAAGAAAATTGAGGAGAGGGGAAACTAACTTAATTAGGTATATAATCTATAGCCCAACTTAAAACATGCCTGGCTTTATAAAATCATCCATATCTACAGAAATAAGACTGATCCTGTTTGTTGCCAGTTTGAGTTTGCTTAAATAGCCTACCGATTCAGTGAGCACCAAGCCCCACAACCACAAAATGTAGGATAAAGCAATTTCAAAAATGTGGCTGTTTTTAATCTTTGCTATGATGTAATAAAGGCTTTAGATTTTTTCGTTAGAACAGTCTCTGGTATTACTTACAATTTAGTGTTGTTTACACTGTTCCAAACAGGCAGAAAACTAATATTGTAATCTAACAGGACCTGTTTGTCACACATAATATGCACACAGCTCTTGATCCTATACCCTTATTTTTCGTCATCTCCTTAATCATCATCATAAGTAATGTCATTATCATTAGCAGGAATCTTATAGTTGCCTTTTATAACCACCATTGAGCTGTAGGCCTAAGAGCGCATCCTGTTTAGTATTAATACTGTAACCTACTTATGCCTATATTTCAATATATAGGCTACTATAGAATTCAATAATTCGTTCATATCGTCACACAGCATACGAGTCATTCATGCTTTGAAATGCCATCAAGGATTTTAGTTTTAAAATGAAATAAAGGGAGCTTTGGATAATTAGCCTAACCAATAAATAATCTGCAATTCACGCAACTGTTTAGTCTTTGCTGTAATAAAGGCATGCATACATACACAGTTGAAGTCGGAAGTTTACATACAACTCTGTTTTTCACAATTCCTGACATTTAGTCCTAGTAAGAATTCCCTGTATCACAATTCCAGTGGGTCAAATAGATCCCAGAACAACAGCAAAAGGACCTTGTGAAGATGCTGGAGGAAATAGGTACTAAAGTATCTATATCCACAGTAAAGCGAGTCCTATATCGATATAACCTGAAAGGCCGCTCAGCAAGGAAGAAGCCACTGCTCTAAAACCGCCATAAAAAAGCCAGACTACAGTTTGCAACTGCACATGGGGACAAATATCGTACTTTTTGGAGAAATGTCCTCTTGTCTGATGAAACAACAATAGAACTGTTATGTTTGGATGAAAAAGGAGAAACGCTTGCAAGCCGAAGAACACCATCCCAACAGTGAAGCACAGGGGTGGCAGCATCATGCTGTGGGGGTGCTTTGGTGCAGGAGGGACTGGTGCACTTCACAAAATAGATGGCATTATGAGGAAGGAAAATTATGTGGATATATTGAAGCAACATCTCAAGACATCAGTCAGGAAGTTAAAGCTTGGTCGCAAATGGGTCTTCCAAATGAACAATGACCCCAAGCAAACTTCCAAAGTTGTGGCAAAATGGCTTAAGGACAACAAAGTCAAGGTATTGGAGTGGCCATCACAAAGCCCTGTCCTCAGTCCTACAGAAAATGTGTGGGCAGAACTGAAAGAGTGTGCGGCATCCTGTAGCTCAGTTGGTAGAGCATGGCGCTTGCAATGCCAGGGTTGTGGGTTCGATTCCCACGGGGGGGCAGTATGAAAAAGGTGTGCACTCACTAACTAAGTCGCTCTGGATAAGAGCGTCTGCTAAATGACTAAGATGTAAAAATGTGCGAGCAAGGAGGCCTACAAACCTGACTCAGTTACACCAGCTCTGTCAGGAGGAATGGGCCAAAATTCACCCAACTTATTGTGGGAAGCTTGTGGAAGGCTACCCGAAACATTTGACCCAAGTTAAACAATTTAAAGGCAATGCTACCAAATACTAATTGAGTGTATGTAAACTTCTGACCCACTGGGAATGTGATGAAATAAATAAAAGCTTAAATAAATCACTACTATTATTCTGACATTTCACATTGTTAAAATAAAGTGGTGATCCTAACTGACCTAAAATAGGGAATTTCTACTAGGATTAAACGTCAGGAATTGTGCAAAACTGAGTTTAGTTGTATTTGGCTAAGGTGTATGTAAACTTCCGACTTCAACTGTATATACACACACACACACATATACAGTGCCTTTGGAAATTATTCAGACACCTTGACTTTACCCATTTTGTTACGTTACAGTCTTATTCTAAAATTGATTTTTTTTATTTATTCTCAGCAATCTACACACAATACCCCATAATGATAAAGCAATAACAGGATTAGAATTTTAGCAAATGTATAAAAAAAATAAAACAGAAATACCTTATTTACATAAGTATTCAGACCCTTTGCTATGAGACTCGAAATTGAGCATCCTGTTTCCATTGATCATCCTTGAGATGTTTCTACAGCAGTTGTGTGTAAAGCCACACAACTGTCTATATAAGGTCCCACAGTTGACAGTGCATGTCAGAGCAAAAACCAAGCCATGAGGTCGAAGGAATTGTCCGTAGAGCTCCGGGACAGGATTGTGTCGAGGCACAGATCTGGGGAAGGGTATCAAAAAAATTTCTGCAGCATTGACGGTCCCCCAAGAACACAGTGGCCTCCATTCTTAAATGGAAGAAGTATGGAACCACCAAGACTCTTCTTAGAGCTGGCCGCCCAGGCCAAACTGAGCAATCGGGGAAGAAGGGCCTTGGTCATGGGAGAACCTTCCAGAAGGACAACCATCTCTGCAGCACTCCACCAATCAGGCCTTTATGGTAGAGTGGCCAGACAGAAGCCACTCCTCAGTAAAAAGGCACATGACAGCCCGGTTGGAGTTTGCCAAAAGGCACCTAAAGACTCTCAGACAATGAGAAAGCTTCTTGAACAGCTCTGGAGACCTGAAAATAGCTGTGTAGCAACGCTCCCCATGCAACCGGACAGAGCTTGAGAGGATCTGCAGAGAAGAATGGGAGAAACTCCCCAAATACAGGTGTACCAAGCTTTTAGCGTCATACCCAAGAAGACTCGATGCTGTAATCGCTGCCGAAGGTGCTTCAACAAAGTACTGAGTAAAGGGTCTGAATACTTCTGTAAATGTGATCTGTTTTTTTATTTTTAATAAATTAGCAAACATTTCAAATAATCAGTTTTCGCTTTGTCATTATGGGGTATTGTGTACAGATTGAGGAGGGAAAAACTACTATTTAATCAATTTTAGAATAAGGCTGTAACGTAACAAAATGTGAAAATGTAAAGAGGTCTCAATACTTTCCGAGGGCACTCGAAGTATGTGTATATACAATACTGTTCAAAAGTTTGGGGTCACTTAGAAATGTCCTTGTTTTCTAAAGAAAAGCAATTTTTTTGTCCATTAAAATAACATAAAATTGATCAGAAATACAGTGTAGACATTGTTAATGTTGTAAATGGCTATTGTAGCTGGAAACGGCTGATTTTTTATGGAATATCTACATAGGCGTACAGAGGCCCATTATCAGCAACCAACAGTCCTGTGTTCCAATGGCACGTTGTGTTTGCTAATCCAAGTTGATCATTTAAAAAGGCTAATTGATCATTAGATACATTTAAATAAATAAAAATACATACATTAGTCATTTAGCAGACGCTCTTATCCAGAGCGACTTACAGGCGCAATTAGGGTTAAGTGACTTGCTCAAGGCACAGACAGATTTTTCACCTAGTCGGCTCGGGGATTAGAATCAGCGACCTTTCGGTTACTGGCACAACGCTCTTAACCACTAAGCTACCTGCCCTTTTGCAATTATGTTAGCACAGCTGAAAACTGTTGTGCTGACTAAAGCAGCAACAAAACTGGCCTTCTTGAGATTAGTTGAGTATCTGGAGCATCAGCAATTGTAGGTTCGATTACAGGCTCAAAATGGCCAGAAACAAATAACTTTCTTCTGAAACTCGTCAGTCTATTCTTGTTCTGAGAAATGAAGGCTATTCCATGCGAGAAATTGCCAAGAAACTGAAGATCTCGTACAACGCTGTGCACTACTCCCTTCAAAGAACAGCGCAAACTGGCTCTAACCAGAATAGAAAGAGTGGGAGGCCCCAGTACACAACTGAATAAGAGGACAAATACCATATTTTCCGCACTATAAGGCGCACCAGAGTATAAGCCGCAGCAGCTAAATTGAATGATATTGAATGATGTGTACATATATAAGCCGCACTGGACTATAAGCCGCAGGTGTTTTAATGTTTAATTACCATATGTAAGGGTTCGCGCACAGAGGGGATTGTCGGGAAAGAGATGGCTGCTTGAGGAAGCTCCCATTTATTAACATTTCAACAAACAAGTTGCATATTTGCATAACGTATTCAAGTGTTACCATTTAGTGCAATAGTAGCTACAGAACATATACTGTGCTGTGTAAACTGTATCACACAGCGTTTCAGACACACAAACTTTTCAACTTTCATACTTAAACGGTGCGCTCCCAGCGCACATACCGGCAGTGATCTACAGCAGTGGTTTTCAACCAGTGGTCCTTGAGGGAGTGCTAGGGGTTCCCCAGCAAAATTAGTTAATAGCGTCACAATCATTTAACCACTTAACTTTGGTTATTTTTGAAAAACCTTGAAAAAGTGTGCACATCTTTGAATATTTATCTACATTATAGCCTACAGTAGTACCATAACAAAAAACAAAGCTTACAGCGCTTGACGAGGCAATATCAATGGCTAAATTAAATGTGTTTTTTTAAAAGTGCAAAATAAAGTGCCTGTAACACGACAGTAAGCGCGTAAGCCTAAAGTTGCAGCAACACGGCTGCTTAAAATATACGGTAATCAGCCTACCAGAAAAGTCATTAATCCTCGTCTTCATCTTTTTAGGCTAAGGTGCAGTACACGGCTGTAACCAGAAAAGTCAAGTCATTAATCCTCATCTCCGTCTTCTTCCTGCGTACTAAAACCACCAAAGTCCTCATCTTCAGTGTTGGAAACGAACAGGCTCAGGGTGGCTTCGTCAGCCACTCTCCTCTCTCCTTCGTTGTCGCTCTCAAAACCAACGAACTCCTCTTCGTCACTGTCGGAATCGAACAGCCTCTGAAGGGCCTCAGCTGTGGCGGCGTTCTCCTCTTCATCAAGCAGCAGTCCAGCCTTTCGGAACCCGTTAATGATCGTGGATGTTTTGACAGCCATATTGACTGCCTTTAACTTAAAAGCTGCATCATATGCATTTCTACGTTTGTTTTCCATAATGAGGGTTTGTGCATGAAAACTTCCTTTGCACAAACTGTCTCGCTCTCGTAATGTCTGTCTGTCTTGCTCTCGTTCTGTCTCTCGTTCTGTCTCTCGTACCACTCTCGGTTCCACTTTTACGCGCTACCTGTCTCACTCTTTTCCGGCCTCTAGCTTTTCCTGCTGGAGACCGCCGCTTAAAGGTGGGGGGCGCGGATCGGTCATAGAGCCCATAGAGTTAAAGTTGGTAGACTGTAACCTGTAAAATCCATAGATTTAGGAGGTCTTCTAGTGGCCGTTAGCTGTAAAAATCCATAGATTAGCCGCACCGTTATATAAGCCGCAGGGTCGAAAAATGGGAAAAAAGGCGCGGCTTATAGTCCGAAAATTACGGTACATTAGAGTGTCTAGTTTGAGAAACAGACGCCTCACAGGTCCTCAACTGGCAACTTCATTAAATAGTACCCGCAAAACACCAGTCTCAACGTCAACAGTGAAGAGGCGACTCCGGGATGCTGACCTTCTAGGCAGAGTTGCAAAGAAAAAGCCATATCTCAAGACTGGCCAATAAAAATAAATGATTAAGATGGGCAAAAGAACACAGACACTGGACTTTTTCCTTTGCAACTCTGCCTAGGTCAGCATCCCGGAGTCGCCTCTTCACTGTTGACGTTGAGACTGGTGTTTTGCGGGTACTATTTAATGAAGCTGCCAGTGTTACGGTGTTCAGTTTGTTATAACCAATTTATTGATGCGATTATGATAGGCTATAGGTCAGGACATATTGGTCAAGTGCATGCAATGCATACGTTCACATAAAGAGATCAAGGGTTGAGGGAATGTTTTTCCTAAACAAATTAGGTATTTCGGTAACAGAACTCCAGTCAGAAACAAGTAGGAAACGAAATGGCTGTAATTATGTTGCAGCTTCAGTATGGACAGTGCGATAAACACTTGCTGTGGTGCCTGTTCTCTGCAGCAGGGAGGAAAGAGAGACAACATGCGCCAGTCACAGGCACTCACCGTTTATTTTTTTAACACAGCACGGCCATCGGGCTCCCGCATGAGTCATTTGTGTGTCTTAATTATTTCATTTTAAAAAAGCGTGCTTAAAGCATCAGACAAGCTCAGTGCATATATACTGAACCAAAATATTAAAACGCAACATGTTCATAAAAGAATATCAGTCAATTGAAATAAATTCATTAGGCCCCTACTCTATGGATTTCACGATTGTGCATAGGCTCACCCACTTGGGAGCCAGGACCAGCCAATCAGAATGAGTTTTCCCCATAATTAAAAACAAAAATACTCCTCAGCATCCCCTCCCCCTCAGACAATCCCGCAGGTCAAGAAGCCAGATGTGGAGGTACTGGGCTGGTGTGGTTACATGTGGTCTGCGGTTGTGAGGCCGGTCTGATGTACTGCCAAATTCTCTAAAACGATTATCTGGCAACAGCTCTGTTGGACATTCCTGCAGTCAGCATGCCAATTACACGCTTCCTCAAAACTTGAGACATCTGTGGCATTGTGTTGTGACAAAACTGCACATTTTAAAGTTGACTTATTGTACCCAGCACAAGGTGCACCTGTGTTTTCCTTCCTGTTTTTCATGAATTTGCCTACAATTCCAGCATATGCGGAAAGTACCTAGATATGCATATTTTATTCAGCTTTTGCACCGGTGTAATGATCATGCTGTTTAATCAGCTTCTTGATATGCCACACCTGTCAGGTGGATGGATTATCTTGGCAAAGGAGAATTGCTCACTAACAGGGATGTAAACAAATTTGTGCACAAAATTAGAGATTAATATGCTTTTTTTTGCGCATGGAACATTTCTGGGATCTTTATTTCAGCTCAAGAAAAATGGGACCAACGCTTTATACGGTTGTGGTTATATTTTTGTTCAGTATAGTTGATTTTATTCAAAACACATAGGGTGTGGTGTGTCTATATATGGAAAAATACACTACTTAATTTCAACCAATCGATTGGTGGAAAGAACATAACTTTTTTGGGGGGTCTGGGACAGCCCTAGACCTCTACAAAGTCTAGGCTGGGAATCTACATGTGGTCTTACCCTAACATGGTCAGTGATGTTACAGATGGTGATAACAGAGTCTCTGGCCAGTAGGAAGTCTTCAGTCACCTTCTCTCCCAGAGCCACAGAGCACAGAGTGTCCAGGTTACTGAGGACCACTTCCCTCTCCGCTCTACACAGAGAAATACACAATTACATTAGTCTACACATTGAACACGCAATCTAAAATGCCACATTAATCTGATACAAGAACACGCATACAAACATGCTAATACACACGGCAACTTTAGTGTGTGGTGCACAAATTAGGTTCTTGGCAGTATGTACATTTACTGCTACCACACACAGAGTAGTAAGGGATGACATTTAAATTATGCCCAGGCTCCAGATTAATTAATAATCTCATCTGTGCTCGGCCCACCGCAGAACATACACAGTCCCTGTCTATGAGGGATAATGTGTGTGGGAGGGAGGGTTAGAGGACGTGAGAGGAGGATTAAACAGGTTATGAATGCTGCCTGCGTGGAAAGAGAGAGAGGAGGCACGGTATTGTCCAGTCCAGTGTGGGTGGACTGCAGATAGTCCCCCTCTCTCTCCACCCCCCCCCCTCCAGCAGTGGCTGTCTTTGAAGGAGACTGAATGTGTGTTTAAAACGCTCGTTCTTCATTGAAAACCCTGGCGGTGAGCCCAGATTTATCTGTGGTCGTGACTTAGACTCAATGCAGAGAAGTCAGTGTGCTCTGCTGTGCTCCTATTCAGAGACTAAAGGCGTCAGCATGCTTCAGTTTGGCTAGCCAAATGTGTGCTCGCATACTCCCTTAAAAGACATTCACTTGAAAACGAGAAAAAAAGCAGCAATAGTACTATTTGTCCATTTTGAGAGACCGTAGCCAGTACACTCAAAATAGTGTGAATTAATCTAAGATAACTCAAGAAATCGGTCATGCATTTAGACTTTTTTTGCTGAGGAGATCTTAGTCGCGCAATTTTACATCTAACTAAGATGTTTGGTGCAGTTCTCAATGACAAACTGCATGAAAACAAGTCTTCTCTCGTTGAAAGACAAAGACTTTGAAGAATCCCTACTGTTGACCAATCACCGACCAAGGGGCATAGACTTCAGCTCGCCTCCAGTCCAAAACTAACAAAATGTCACAAGATGTTGTAATAATATATGCACAAACTCTTCCGAACAGTTTCGGCTGGGAAGCATGCGGACGCCTTAATGAGGATTAGTGGAGAAATTAACCAACGTCAAACTGCTGAGAAAGCCAAGAGCCAAAGGTAGGAGTTTACAATAGGAGCAGACATAGGAACAGTTTACCTTACGTCATTAAGGGAACATTGTCATTGGGAGGTTAAGTGCAAAACTGAACTTGGATCAGAGTCTCATTAAACAAAGATTAAGATCAATGTATTGGTCAATTACACAAGGTCCAACCGAAATTTGACTTCCGCTTTTAACCCAACCCCTCCGAAAGACACATACCGGTGTAGAAGCCCTCAGATTACCAAAGAAGTGCGCTCATGGCCAACTGAATATGGAGGTGAATTTCTCCCTGCCTCACACAGACACACACACACAGACAAACAACACCAGTCACACTGTCAGCACCCTCCCACTATTCTCTACTGTGTTTCTTTACCTGGAGAAACATGTGGGTGGGGCCAAGTCACTGTAGGCCGGCCCTTACAGCAGAGCAGCCAATCTCCGCTACACTGCCAAGATTACCGGCCAATCGAGACAAGGGAGAACCCAACCCTCTCGTTCAGTTGGCTCGCATTCGCCTTGGTCTCATCATTGGGCAAGAAGTCAAATGGGACTTAAAAACACAGGTGTGGAGGAAGAACTTGTGTTCGTGTAGTGGGCCTTACCGTGCAGCCATTCCCAGAAGCAGTACTGCTGCCCGTCTGTGCAGGCTGGAGGTCTCTCGTTTGCCAGTGAACCTCTCCCACAGAACCTGCACCACCGTGGACTGGAGGCTGCTGCCACCGCCAAAGAACTCCTGGACCTGGGACGCGCGAGACAACAGGTTGGAACAGATCAGATGAGAGAGAGAACGGGGGTTAGTATAATTGAAAGACAGGATGGATAGAGAGAGTAATCAGCAGAGAGAAAGGGCTAACTCAATCACTGGGTAGTATTGATGACAGACAGGATTGATCAGATAAAACAGAGTAATAAGAACGAGAAACTCACTATCTCCTCCAGACACTGGATGGTCCCCAGAGAGGCGTCCACCATCAGCTCAGACAGACTGTCCACTAGAGTCTGAGCTTTAGCCCTGAGGGAGCGAGAGAGACAGTCAGTCACCAGAGAGATCATCTCCAAATCCCATGCACAGCCCATTGGAGGTGGATGAAGTTGCTCCAAGACATTGTGCAATTTCCCACCTCAACTTCTACCTTGAGTCTGCATCTTTTCCAGCAGCAATGTGCCAGTGGGAGCCAGATTAACAAATTGACAGCAGAAAATGTAACACAGGCTGTGTTCAAACAGGCAGCACAATTCTGATTTATATATTTTTTTGCAATAATTGGTCTTTTGACCAATCACAAATCTTTTCACATCAAATCTTTTTCAGAGATGATCTAATCGGTCAAAAGACCAATTAGTGAAAATAAGATCAGAATTGGGCTGCATGTCTATAAAACACAGCCTGAGAGTTGAAACCTCTTGGGGGAATGGCTGAGGAGCTGGAATGAAGATCGCAGGTTCCCACTAAGGCTGTTTCAGCAGACAAGACGCAGTTCCAATTACTCCCAATACCATTATAATGTCACTAGCACTGCTTCGCAATTTCACATGGGAAGACATTACCACTTTAAAAATAACTTCACCATCTGAAAATTGGTAGGTGGATCGAGGGACTTGTTGGGTTGATAGAAAGTGCTTGTGGCAATAGTTCGAAGGTGTGTGTGTACCTGGTGTTGTCTCCCTGGGGGTTGAGGTATAGACGTCTGTAGGCCTGCACCACAGCATCTTTAATGGCAGCGTCAGTAGACCAGACCAGAGGCAGCATCCTCCTCACGCCAGTCAGAGAGTTCGCCACACTGAACTCACATACTGTCACACAGAACTGCACCGCCTCCTGGACAACTGACACACACAGGGGGGGGGACATTTATTTCTCAATACCCCACACATTACATAGTCTCAAAATACATGCATGGAGTCATTGGGGTGAGATGTTGACTGTACAGGTGATGACGGTAATGCATGTGTAGGTAAGATGAGGTGTGTGTTTGTACCAGAGGTAGTCTTCCAGTAGAGCATGGTGTTGATGACAGCGATGGCTCTCTCCACCTGCAGGGCGAAGCTCTCAGTGTCTCTCAGATACTGCACCAGCATCTCCTGTTTCTTCAGCTCGCTCTCCTCCACCCCTTCCTTCCCTCCATCCCCTGCTCCCTCCTTCTGGGGGGTGGGAGGCAGGTCCTCTCTGATCTCAGAGGTGTCCTGGTCAGGACCTGGGGAGGAACAGGGACACAGGGGAAAAGAGAGGTCAAATTAGAACATGTTCTCCTGAGAGCAGATGTGAACAGCTTAACTCCTGCCACAGTGTGAGCACGCATTTGTTCCAGTCCACATGATTCAACTAAATAGTGGTCTAAAATGAAGACCAATTGTTGATTAGTTTTTTAAAAATCAGGTGTTGGAGCTGGGTTTGGGTGATTCACCAGTAGAAAACATTATCACCCACTCCATCAGTAATGCTGTCATATGAAACTACACCTCCCACACTGCTGAAAGCCAGACAACGCTAGATTGACCTTTATCAATTAGATTTTGATTAGTTATATCACTCTTATTCTAGCACTGATTTTTTTTTTTAACTTACAAGTTTTACTTACAAGGCTCGCTACTGAATAATTTGCTTAATCCATTTGAGTGAATTTTACTCTTTTAGCAGAGTGCTGGTTAGTTCTGAATAGAGTTTACTTACTAGGCTTGTTTTATGTGGTTCTTTCAACATGCACTTACTGTAAGTCGGTTCTAGATAAGAGCATTCGCTAAATGACCCAACATTTTCAGAATGATTGCTTTTTTCTATCTCCTACACTTAACCAATATACGTGCATCGGGATGTGATTGACAGATGGATAGTGTTCTGTACCTTTAAAGAGCAGAGCCAGTGTTTCCAAGAGAGTCTCTGGGGGTGAGAGTGGTCAGAGACGAGAACATCTCAGACTCTGGGAACAGGCTGTGGGCTCGCACACACAGACGCACTGCATTCCTGAAACACAAACAATCAGTTATTAAATTGATCATTATGTGATCCCTGTAGGGTTCAGCTTGGAATGCCAATCGGTATCTGACTTCTATAAACAGTTTTTACTACATGATTTGTAATAATGTTGGGAATGGTTTCCTTGAGCTAAAACTAGTCACCAGATTTCACCTATCGGATAGGATTAAATGCATAGAAATAGAATGAATAGCACGGGAGTCCCCCACTCTATTTCTATGCATTTAATCCTATCCGTTAGTCGAAATCCAGATAGATGACCTTTGAAAAACTGGGCCCTGTATTTAGATATTGTTTCACTCTACCGGTATTTGTTGACGCGGAGGAACTGGGCGATCTGTATGGCGGTGGCCCTGTCGTCATCCTCCTCTCCAGCCTCTTCCTCTTGCTGCTCCCCCTCTCCCTCACTGGTGGGCTCCAGCTCTGCTCTGACGGTGAGGAGCAGCTCAGGCTCCATAGCGGCCCACAGCTCTGAGGCCTTGATCACTGCCACTGGACGGAGAGACAAAAGGAATGTGGTCAAAGGGAAAATCCACTAAAATCATTTTGCATCATGATGATGTGGCAGGTGATATTTTGCTTCCTGAATGTCCAATATCTTGAAAACTTGACTGTGAAACATTTTGGAACTGTATCAACTGTGGATTAATGGGGAAAAAATTAAAAACAATTTGAGTGAAGTTTCCCTTTAATTATACAAAAAGTGAAGTTTCCCTTTAATTATAAATATTGTTTGGACAAAAGAGGTAGAAGATGAAGTAGAGGACTTCAGAATGAATGGAAGCTATTTCTATGGTTACAAAACCCTCAGATTAACAAAGAAGAACGCTCATGGCCAACTGAATATTGAGGAGAGCTGGGTTTCTCCCTGCCTCACACAGACAAACAAACACACGTCAGCCACACTGTCAGCACCCTCCCACTATTCTCTACAGTGTTTCTTTAGCTGGAGAAACATGTGGGTGGGGCCAAGTCACTGTAGGCCGGCCCTTACAGCAGAGCAGCCAATCTCCGCTACACTGCCAAGATTACCGGCCAATCGAGACGCATCCCAACCCTCTTTCAGTTGGCTCGCATTCGCCTTGGTCTCATCATTGAGCTTTATATCAAAGATTGAAGGTGTAAATTTTAGGGATGTGTTAAATTAAGAGGTAAATATAAAAAGGTGGTGTATAATTTACCAGGTGCGTTTTTCTGCAGTTTCTCTCTAAGCTCTCTGAGTTGAGCCGTCTCCTTCTCCAGGGGTTTCTTCAGGTCAGCACTGCTCAACTGCAAATGAAACAAACACAATTGTAAGACACTTTAGGTGTTGTGTGTGTACTTTGCTGTAGTTTTGAGCGTGTGTGTGTACGTGCGCACCTTGCAGCTGTAGGGGTTGTGTGCGATGAAGGCAGCCAGTAGCTGGATGGCACTCTTGACCACGTTGATGGATTTGTCCATCAGCCTTCCCACTGCCAACCCCATCACTTCACTGTACCTATTCAAGGGCAGAGCCTGGGGGAGAAATCACACAGAGGACCGCTCAGTAATCCCAGAGGAAGTAATTCTCTCCTAGTCTTCTTTCCCTAAAAAACAAAACAATCAGGTTTTGGCAGTAAATAAATAATTCAAATAATTTCTGCGCCTTTGAGGAAACGACAATCAAATGGGGATTTGATGTTGAGGGACAATTCACTTCAAACTCAAACCAGCACAGGAGTGTTGGTGACTTTACTGAATGATGAGGCCACCGCATTGCCGTCACTAAGATTTCTGAATGCCCTCAGATTACCAAAGAAAATGTTCATAGCCATAGCAAAGGCCACCAACAAAGATTTGTGCCTCCTTGCCAACTGATACATACTCTCACACAGACAAGCAGACAAACACTTTCAGCAGCCTCCGTCCTGCCTTCTCCTATATCTCTGGGATGGGCAGAGGGTGAGGAGGACTGCTAGTTTACTCTAGGTGGGCCCTTACAACAGAGCAGCCAATCTTCGCCACACTGCCAAGATTACCCACCAATCAGGAGGAAGACGCACACAATCTCTCAGCCTGATTGGCTCATACTTGCCATGATCTCATCACTGTGCATTAGTGGATGTATTAAATGACTAGTGAACATACTGCAGATTCATAACAGTGCAAGTAGTATCCGGAATTGCTTCATACATCAATATTGTTGTTTGGGATACGCTTTTAGACAAACGTAAGCACACACACTCGCACCTTGCTGTTGACGATGCGTGTGTAGACCTGCAGCACTCGGGCCCTGACGTAGGAGTGCGTGTCGTGGAGGTGCTCCTGCAGTGTGTCCATGAAGCGGTCCCTGTCAGCTTTGCCAGACTCATCCAGCCCATCTCCACTAAGGACCCTGACCAGAACCTCTCCCAACACTTCACACACTGCCACACGCAGACTGGGGCTCTGCAGACACAGGGAGAAGGATCGAACATTCAGTAATGACTAGATAGTAAGGACATTGTGATTGATAATCAAAGGCAGCACAATTTCAAAGGAAGAAGTAGTACTATCAATCTGGTGTTAGGGATCATGGTGTGTGTGCTACCTCTCCCTCCAGGTGTGTGAGTAACACACTGATGTTGGGGATCATGGTGTCGGGGACCAGGGTGCCGAGTTCAGACAGGAAGCTGGAGAAGGCCTTGACCCCTGATCCCTCTCTGGCCAGCTCCTCACTAGACTTCTGACCGATCTCTCTGAGATGAGGGTCAGTATAGACAACAGGGCATCAGAACAGAGAGACACAGACTTCACACACGCCCACTGAACAAGTCCCTAATTTGTTTCTCGCAACACTTCATAAACAGGGACAAAAAGGACATGGGGACTTTAAAGACATTCTTGCAGAAAAGACAGATAAAAAAGGAATCTCTTCGACTGACCTCATGACCTCTCCTATGATAGCCTTGACTCCATACTCAGTGCTCCACACAGACACAGCCTGGGCACACACTGACGACAGCTGCTCAAAGTGCTGCAGCAGCTGGATCACCTTCACACTGGCACCTGTGGATGATGAGAGAGTACATCAGTACAATGCTTCACTTGAATGAACACCATACTACTAATAAAAAGGCAGCGGAGCAATAACATTAAAATGCATCAGCATAGGTTCTATGGAGCTGTCTAATAAGTGGTTTGGGGGTGGTGAGCTACTGACCCAGCAGGTGGTTGTATTTCTTGACCTGCACCCCCAGCAGGTGGATGATGGCGTCTCTGGTGGGCTTGTTCTTCACATGGCTGATGGTTGGGTTCTCCAGGAGCTTATAGCAGCAGCATGTCACACAGCTGAGGACACAGTATCCTGTAAGTTATGTAGACTGCTGCTCATCGCTCACCATGTTCTCTACCTAGAGAGTGAAACACCACAAACCCATGTTTCCTCCAGCCCCACACACTCATCCACAGTCTGGCCCTCTCACCTGATGAACTCCTCCTCGACCAAAGAGAGGCTCCAGAGGGAGCGGATGTCCAGCTGAAGGAGCTGGGTTAGAGCCTGCAGCACCGTCTCCCTCTCAGAGTCCCACTGTAGTAGACCTTCTCCTGCAGCCTTTCCCCTTCTTACTGCCCTGAGGGTGTCGAGAGAAAGAAAGTTCACTTCAAACTGTCAACTCAGTACAGGACTCAGGGTTTGAGATTCTAGAATGACTGAGGATACACTACTATCCGTATGCAGTTACAGAGTGACTCCTTATTGATGAGGCCACTATGCATAGCGGTCACAAAGATCTGGGTGTAGTTTTTGAATGCCCTCAGATTACCAAAGAAAATGTTCATAGCTATAGCAAAGGCCACCAACAAAGACTTGTGTCTCCTTGCCAACTGATACATATACTCACACAGACAAAGACAAACACTTTCAGCAGCCTCCGTCCTGCCTTCTCCCATATCTCTGGGATGGGCAGAGGGTGAGGAGGACTGCTAGTTTACTCTAGGTGGGCCCTTACAGCAGAGCAGCCAATCTTCACCACACTGCCAAGATTACCCACCAATCAGGAAGAAGGAGCACGCAGTCGCTCAGCCTGATTAGCTCATACTTGCCATGATCTCATCACTGGGCATTAGTGTATTAAATGACTAGTGAGCATGCTGAGACTACAGATTCAAATATGACTGGGTGCAGAAGGACCTACCTTACTGGGTGCAGTGACGATACTCTGCCTGTAAGAGTCACTCTCCAGGGTTTCTGTGAGCTTGCAGAGGAGGAATACACTCATTTTGACAGCATTGAGCTGCTCCTTGCGGTCCGGGGCAGAGAGTGAGGCGTTGAGGAGGAGGGAGGGCAGGGAGACGGACAGGCCACTCACCACTAATAGAGAAAGCAATGAAATACGGATGAGGACTTCGGCTGTATAGTGAGCACTAGCAGGCACAGGTATGCCATCATGTGAATAGGTTGAGACATTTCAATACACACCATCACAAACACTGACCTTGTATGAGTAACTCCAGGGTGTCCTCTTTCACGCTCATGTCCACTTTATGGCAATGCCTGAGACATACAATAGTATGCAACATCGGTCAATACTCAAGAAACAGAATTGTGGTCGGTTTGAGAAATAAATAAAAATACAAGAATTTTGGTAAATATAGCTACTCACTGCAGCACCGTGTAACCCGTGTCGAAGTGTTCCAGGATACACAATGGACCCTGGCTTCTCAATGCAGCCTTGAAACCTAGAAAGTTTAGTTACTTGGTCAGATTTCAGGAGGACAATAGTCTAACAATTATAAGTCTAACAAACTACGGGATATTTACTTTTGAGATGGGAGGGCAGTTGTTTAGGGGAGACGACATCCTGAACCACGTACTGGTTAATGCCCCCAGTCTTCACCAGGTCACCCACGCACACAGGCACAAAGAAGTCCCACGACATCACTGTACACGAAAAAACAACTTGTCGTAAGCCGAGTGGTTGACATTCTAGGTAATTATAGTAAGCCAAGTTATTTCCATGTAGCTAGCTATAAACGACCCACTCAACCTAACAAACGTGTTCGCTCATGTATTAGCTAGCTTACTTTCTTTTGACCAAGTTATTAGTTATGTGTTTGTTTCGATTTCTTCGCGAACTAACTAGTTAGCCACAATATAACTTAGTTAGCTGGCTAACGCGTTAGCTAGCTACGTTAATAATTTATTTAAGATAGCTACAGTATTTAACGTTGTTGTTAGTCAACTAGCTAACTGGCTACATTTCACAACTAAGAAAAAGTCAAGACATAAGTAACGTTAACTAAGTATAACACACTTACCAATATTTTTTGTAGAGCTCTTAGCCACAATTGAGAAACTGTTCAACAGATTGCAACAAACAGCACGGCACTGCTCTGAACGGTTTGTGGCGAAGGGTTTTGAATTTTTAACAGCAGCGCGCCAAAGGATCACGTCATCGGCATCGTTCCCACTGGCCCTCCTCTTCGGTGACCAAACTACGCCATCTGTCTGCGGATAACGGACGCTACAATATTGTTGATACTATTACTGAAAACTCGTAATATTGCAATTTCAAGTAGAGTAAATCTGATAACCTCATGCAAAATAGAGTTGTATCTATGCTGTTCAGAACCAATCTACATGATAAAGAACAAAAAAGGACAAGAAAGACTGATGAGGTAGTAGCTGTATTCAAACTGAAAATAAAATGTTCCTCTGTCAGCTACAGTATTGATGATATTTCCCTTGTGAAATGTATCCTCTAAACAAGTTCTATCAAATGTAAAATTAAAAAAGTAAAATGTAGGAGGTGGTTGTATTACAATACGTCAATCCATTTCACTACAGTCAATCACATCTAGTCAAATCCATACTACAGTATTATGTCAAATCACTCTGGGAATTTTAGTGTTTATTGTTCAGTTACAAAAAAATAGAAACATAAAATAAAACAATGCAACTCTCCTAACTATCAACTGTCATAACCTTTGAAACATATTTATATACATCTGTAACCACATATCTCCTCCACACTGCATTAAACCAAGACAGAAAAATAAAGTCAACAAAAAAAGAAAGCACCAATTGTTCTATGCTAGAAGACTGATAAACAATGTAATACTATCCCAGGGAAAGAAAATCATGTTCCTTTCTCTACACTACTAACGTAGTATCCTGACTCTACAATCGGTTGGCCGCTCTACCTTAGGGGCTTACTTTTTCTTTCTGTCTTGAGAGCAGCGTGGACAATACCTGCAGAGTTAGAAAAAAATAATATTCAGTTGTAAACCTTAAAATCCCATCACTATTTCCGTTATGTAAGATACTCACCGGCCAGTTTATTAGGTACACCACCCCGTTCACAAAAATGGATCGCTCCTACAGACAGTGAGTCACGTGGCCGTGGCTTGCTATAGAAAACAGGCATCGAAGCATTCAGTTACTGTTCGATTGAACGTTGAAATTGGCAAAACCAGTGACCTAAGCGACTGAGTGTGGTATGATCGTCGTTGCCCGGCAGTATCTCAGAAACGGCTGCCCTCCTGGGCTTTTCACGCACAACAGTGTCTAGGGTTTACAGAGAATGGCATGACAAACAAAAAACATCCAGTCAGCAGCAGTCCTGTGGGCAAAAACAGCTTGTTGATGAGAGAGGTCGAAAGAGAATGGCAAGAATTGTGCAAGCTAACAGGCGGGCCCGCAAACAGACAAATAACGGTGCAGTACAACAGTGCTGTGCAGAACGGCATCTTGGAATGCACAACTTGTCGATCCTTGTCACAAATGGGCTATTGCAGCAGACGACCACACCGGGTTCCACTCCCATCAGCTAAAAACAAGAAGAAGCGGCTTCAGTGGGCACGCTATCACCAACACTGGACAGTGGAAAAACATCACCTGGTCCGACGAATACCGGTTTCTGTTGCGTCATGCTGATGGCAGTGTCAGGATTTAGTATAAGCAGCATAAGTCCATGAACCCATCCTGCCTGGTGTCAACAGCGTACCGCTGTCCAATATGCAGCAACTGCGTGATGCCATGGCGTCAGCATGGAACGTTTCCGACTTGTAGAAGCCATGCCCCAAAGAATTCAGGCTATTCTGGAGACAGAGGGGTCCGACCCTGTACTAGACGGGTGTACCTAATAAACTGGCCAGTGAGTATAGTATTGTATGGTTAGTCTGTGTAGGTTAACTGATTCCCTCACCATTTCCCTCTTGGTTTGGTCGTCAGGCCCACGCAGGCAAAGTGGAACCACTCGATGGAACACTGCAAATACAATCAACACAGGGGTTTGATGAAGTCCGCACACACTGTAGTTTTCAAGAACCAGGATCAACACAAAACAATATAGGTCAGGTCAGTGCACACACTGGGGGAAACTCAGGGGAGGTTTCTGGGGAAACTCACATCTGTGTTGTCACAGCCAATCATCTCTCCATAGGACACCTGGTGACACAGGCAGTAGGTGGGCTCGTTGGGGTCCACTGGCATGTCCAGCACGTCAGAGGGATGCACGTTCCCAAAGTTAGCAGCTGGAGCAGTGAACTCCCCCCTGACAATGAGAGAGAGGGGTGGGTGAGTACACACACACAAAATGAAGGCCAATGAAGGAGATTGTCTTCAAGCAAGGAAGTGATAGAGTGCACAATAATAAACGTACGGTTGGAGAAGTTTGACTTTCTTCTGCGCAATCTTCGGACTGCCATCTTCATCTGAGCTCTTCACTTTAGAACGCGTTTTAGCTACCTTCTTCTCTTTCAGCCCCCTGGACTCGCCTGAAATATCAAAACATAGCGGATAGTCCTGAATGAATTGTGAATAACGATGAGTGAGAAAGTTAAGACACACAAATATCATACCCCCAAGACATGCTAACCTCTCACCATTACAATAACAGGGGAGGTTTAGCATTTTTTGGGGGGGGGGGTATGATATTTACAGTGGGGGGAAAAAGTATTTAGTCAGCCACCAATTGTGCAAGTTCTCCCACTTAAAAAGATGAGAGAGCCCTGTAATTTTCATCATAGGTACACGTCAACTATAACAGACATATTGAGAAAAAAAAATCCTGAAAATCACATTGTAGGATTTTTAATGAATTTATTTCCAAATTATGGTGGAAAATAAGTATTTGGTCACCTACAAACAAGCAAGATTTCTGGCTCTCACAGACCTGTAACTTCTTATTTAAGAGGCTCCTCTGTCCTCCACTCGTTACCTGTATTAATGGCACCTGTTTGAACTTGTTATCAGTATAAAAGACACCTGTCCACAACCTCAAACAGTCACACTCCAAACTCCACTATGGCCAAGACCAAAGAGCTGTCAAAGGACACCAGAAACAAAATTGTAGACCTGCACCAGGCTGGGAAGACTGAATCTGCAATAGGTAAGCAGCTTGGTTTGAAGAAATCAACTGTGGGAGCAATTATTAGGAAATGGAAGACATACAAGACCACTGATAATCTCCCTCGATCTGGGGCTCCACGCAAGATCTCACCCCGTGGGGTCAAAATGATCACAAGAACGGTGAGCAAAAATCCCAGAACCACACGGGGGGACCTAGTGAATGACCTGCAGAGAGCTGGGACCAAAGTAACAAAGCCTACCATCAGTAACACACTACGTCGCCAGGGACTCAAATCCTGCAGTGCCAGACGTGTCCCCCTGCTTAAGCCAGTACATGTCCAGGCCCGTCTGAAGTTTGCTAGAGTGCATTTGGATGATCCAGAAGAGGATTGGGAGAATGTCATATGGTCAGATGAAACCAAAATATAACTTTTTGGTAAAAACTCAACTCGTCGTGTTTGGAGGACAAAGAATGCTGAGTTGCATCCAAAGAACACCATACCTACTGTGAAGCATGGGGGTGGAAACATCATGCTTTGGGGCTGTTTTTCTGCAAAGGGACCAGGACGACTGATCCGTGTAAAGGAAAAAATGAATGGGGCCATGTATCGTGAGATTTTGAGTGAAAACCTCCTTCCATCAGCAAGGGCATTGAAGATGAAACGTGGCTGGGTCTTTCAGCATGACAATGATCCCAAACACACCGCCCGGGCAACGAAGGAGTGGCTTCTTAAGAAGCATTTCAAGGTCCTGGAGTGGCCTAGCCAGTCTCCAGATCTCAACCCCATAGAAAATCTTTGGAGGGAGTTGAAAGTCCGTGTTGCCCAGCGACAGCCCCAAAACATCACTGCGGAGATCTGCATGGAGGAATGGGCCAAAATACCAGCAACAGTGTGTGAAAACCTTGTGAAGACTTACAGAAAACGTTTGACCTGTGTCATTGCCAACAAAGGGTATATAACAAAAGTATTGAGAAACGTTTGTTATTGACCAAATACTTATTTTCCACCATAATTTGCAAATAAATTCATTAAAAATCCTACAATGTGATTTTCTGGATTTTTTTCTCTCATTTTGTCTGTCATAGTTGACGTGTACCTATGATGAAAATTACAGGCCTCTCATCTTTTTAAGTGGGAGAACTTGCACAATTGGTGGCTGACTAAATACTTTTTCCCCCACTGTATGCATCTAACTTTCTCACTCATCATTATTCACGATTCATTCAGGACTATCGGTAATCATGGTAGCATCCACATTAATGTAGAGTGTTAGTGTTTACAAACATTAATTACCATTCATTTCTATTGGACACTTCACACAAATTCAGACAGCTGATGTTCTGAAAGAGCTGAAAAATCTGGACCCCTACAAATCAGCTGGGCTAGACAATCTGGACCCTTTCTTTCTAAAATTAGCCGCCGGAATTGTCGCAACCCCTATTACGAGCTTGTTCAACCTCTCTTTCGTAACGTCTGAGATACCCAGAGATTGGAAAGCTGCCGCGGTCATCCCCCTCTGCGTGGTCCCATGGTGTTTATACTTGCGTACTATTGTTTGTACAGATGGACGTGGTACCTTCAGGCGTTTGGAAATTGCTCCCAAGGATGAACCAGACTTGTGGTCTACAATTTTTTTTCTGAGGTCTTGGCTGATTTCTTTTGATTTTCTGATGATGTCAAGCAAAGAGGCACTGAGTTTGAAGGTAGGCCTTGAAATACATCCAGAGGTACACCTCCAATTGACTCAATGGCCTATTTATTGCCTTACCTCCATAACTTACTACATTTGCGCACACTATATATATATTTTCTGTTGTATTTTTGACTTTCTGTTTTGTTTACCCCATATGTAACTCTGTGTTGTTGTTTTTATCGCACTGCTTTGCTTTATCTTGGCCAGGTCGCAGTTGTAAATGAGAACTTGTTCTCAACTGGCTTACCTGGTTAAATAGAGGTGAAATAAAAAAAATAAAAAAATCTGAAACACAACCAAAACAAACAGCAACTGCATCGAACAAGTTTGTGTAGTCACAAGCTTGATGTAATCATTGCGTGCTAAGAATATGGGACCAAATAGTACACTTTTGACTACTTTAATGATAATGACTTTTGGTCCCCTAAAATATGTGTGTGTGTGTGTGTGTGTGGGGGGGGGGGGGGGGGCTGCACTTTAACCTCATAGTCATTGTATAATTTAAAAATCAAAAGTGCTGGAGTACAGAGCCAAAACAACAACAAATATTGTCACTATCCCAATACTTTTGGAGCTCACTGCATCTGTATAATTTTGGAGCTCACTGCATCTGTATACTTTTGGAGCTCACTGCATCTGTATACTTTTGGAGCTCACTGCATCTGTATACTTTTGGAGCTCACTGCATCTGTATACTTTTGGAGCTCACTGCATCTGTATACTTTTGGAGCTCACTGCATCTGTATAATTTTTTCTAGTAATGATTTGATATTTTGAAGTGTGCCAAGATGCTAAGCAAACACTCATGAGAAACAGACACGTATGTGCACACACCCACTTCAAATACATACTTTTCTTTCCCTTACTGGAGGTGGAATCATAGTCTGTGCTCTCTATCTGCTTCTCCTTCAGGTCGGCCTCAAAGCGGGCCAGGTCTGTGTCCAGTCTCCGGATGTGCTTGTCCACCTAGGGAACAACCACTGCACTTTAGGATTCATTTGACTGACCCACACAGGCTCCAATACAAAGGAAGCACAGTGCTCCAAAGTACTACTACTGACCATCTCATAAGTCTGCATGGCCAGTTGCACTTTGTCATCCCCAAACTCCTTGCTTTTGCTGTACGACTGCTGGATCTGCCTCAGAATAGTAAGCTTCTGTTCAGACGAGAGGGTCCTGGCATTGGATGTGTAATCCTTTGCCAGGGAGTCTATCTGCCCCTTTAGATCTGAGAGAAAGAGATGGGTTGGGTGAGAAGTTTGGATAAGCATTTTTATTGATGCCACTGATCTGAGAATATCAGCCTTATGTGATGTGTGTGTCACTTGCTTCCACATACCATTTCTTTTTAAATGAAGTATGTGTATCTAGGGCTTTTACAAGTATGAATGGATTTAAGAAATCCCATGGCTGTGCCCAACAAAAGCTCAACAAAGTACTGATATGTAAAGATGCCTCACATAATTGTAGTGCAGCTTTTGTTCTAGATGATCTGATAGTGTTGGAAAATTAGCAGATCATTGAATGGTAAATTGTTGAGGACCGTGGGCATGAATGTTCTTTAGCCCTGGTAATCTGGTTGTTATGGAGGCGAGACAGATTTCATTTGCATACATTCATCATGGGCAATTCAAATGCAAAACTTGTGGGTGGGTGGGATGGCTGCTACTTTATTATGCATTGTAAACGTGGTTCACACATACTCTGCAGAGTAACGTTAGTGAATTGGTCGGTACCAGTTGTAGTTAGTGTTATTTCTCACCCTCTGTACGTTGATCCAAGTCCCTCATCAAATTGAAGTTCCTCTGCAGTTCAAATGGCAGGTTCTCTATGCCTGTGATGAGAAATGAACAATCATGAACAACTTTTTTGACTGATTAATATTCACTAATAATACCAACTCTTGGTATAACAAATGTATCTTCAATTTGTGATGATACTCTAGTTAGGGTAATGCCTAACAGGCGAAACGACCGTTGGTGTTGATTAGCTAGGTAGCTAGCGGCCTAATTATCCAAATAAAGCATTCCTTCTTGCAATGCATTGACTAAACATGCAGATAAATTCAAATAGGCAGCTAAACTATCGAAAACATTTGCAGATTCTTATCTCTAAATCGTTTAAATAATATAAAATGAACTCACTGTCCAAATAGTGTTCCAAATACATTCCCGCCGCCATCTTGGAAAATGTAAACAACACAACTTCCGGCGAGGAGGACGAGTTGTTCTTCGGTTTGATCCGAAATCAAATAAACGATATTTTAATATCAATCGTAATGCAGGATATTGTATTTGCACTGTGTCAGAGACTGAATATAATTAATTAAATGTACTGTTTATGAAAACTATCTAATAACATAATTGATGTCATACACGGTCAACAATACTGCAGTAATATAAAAATAAACAAGATGGGAGTATGACAAACAATCAGACATTTTATTGTCTCAAGGAATGGTCTTTACAATACATACCATCAACTTGATCAAAGGACATACAAGATGAAATTAAACCAAACAGATAACATTGCAAGGAAGGATTAAAATGTGAAAATGTGATGTTTAACAAGAGAAGTAGAACTTTGCCCTCAACCACAGATCTAGGATCAGATGACCATACTCCTACCCTAGAACCAATCATCCATGAGGGCCATGAAAAATATCTGATCTAGTATCTGTGTGGTTAGGGACAACATCTACCTACTCCAAAGGGGGCTGGGGCTCAGGGCCCTCGATGGAGGGCCTGCTGCAGTGATTTTCAGTCCAGAAGGAGGCAATATCTATCCTAACATTCTCAGCTCAACTCTTGTGAAAATGACTGTATCTGTCATGACAATTAGACCTCTCTGACTAGTGACAACTGCAAAATAATTACAGTCTTCATTTTCATAAACATTTTATACATGTTCATTGTCCAACCTCTTCTTTTTTCAGCAGCTTCTTCAACTTATTGAATTTGTTCTTCCCAATTCTCTTCTTGCTCTGCATGGGGGATTTCCTCTGTTTATCGCCCTTTTTCTCAAACCTGCTCCCTTCCTTTGACTCTTTGGTCGTCTCCCCTTCTGTTTTGACTGTGTTGGACTTCTTGAGCTCTCCGTCCACTTTCACAGTCTCACCATCCATCTTTGCGATCTTTGCTTTCTTCGGCCCGGTTGGTTTTTGACTTTTTTTCAGGGTGCTTGGGTTTGTTGTTTTCTTGACGATGCTTTTGGCTGGTTTCCCGTTGGCTATTGCCTTCTGTGACACAGCTGGCTTGCCAGGGACTGGCTTCTGCTTCTTGGACTTGTTCTTAGACCCTGCTTTAGATGGTCTGTCCTCATCAGAGGAATCAGCTGTAACCTCTACTGCCTCAGATGGCTCGGTTTCCTCTTCTCCGTCTGGAATAGTGACAATAACAGGATGTTATTTTTATATAACACGAGTGGTGTTTCCATGACACTGGACAAAGCACTGTGGTTTATTAGATCCAAGATGACATCTACTTTACCTTTGTCAACTGCTGTGGTTGGGACTGTGTTGGAGAACTTTTTCAGCTTGGCCACAAAGAAACCGTCCATGTTGTGGGAATGAGGGTAGAACCGGCGTGAGAGTTTCAGAGAGGGATGGAATCGTCTCTCTTTGAATCTAAATGGGAGGAAATATATATATTTTTTCTTATTGCACAAGAAAACGGTTAGGGGGGGTACAGGTAAATATCTGGATGAATGTGAATAATGTGGTGTTCTTATAACCCCTTTACCTGGTGAAGCCTTCTTTGCCAAAGTCCAGTCCAGTCTGGACGAGTTTGACGTTTCTTTTCTTGAGAGCATAGTCCACTACCCACTCGTTCTCCTCCACCTGGTGATAAAGTCAGTAAGGTAACTTCATCTATTCTAGTCCAAATGAATTTAACCGTCACAGACATTTTGTAATGGACCGAAAAAAACAAGAAAAAGCTGCGATAAAATAAATCATTGCAATTCACTTTAAGTAAAGCACCAATTTAGATGTTGTTTATTTGTCATCAGTGTGACACTCAGGTGTACCCACCATGATAGAGCATGTGCAGTACACCAGATAGCCTCCAGAGGGAGACTCAGCGTTGACAGAGTCGATGGCCGCCAGGATGAGCTCCTTCTGCAGGTGGGCCGACCGCTGGATGTCAGACTCGTCCTGAGAGACAGGACGTAGAAAGTAAGATTAGGAAGACATGAACAGGAAGTTGTCATTAAAGGCCAGTGTCTACTGTAAATCTAAGGGCCTGTGTAGTGTATAATAGGTTTTTTCTCACCTTACTGGTCTTAACAGCAGGGTCTTTGGCGATTACTCCTGTGCCTGAGCAGGGAGCATCAAGCAGCACTCTGTCAAACCCACCCATGACCTGCAAACATAGTAACTAACAGGTTAACATACCATCAATGGGTGTAACATACAATGTACAAACTGCATGTAGAGCAAGAAACTCTCTTATTACCTTAGGGAACTGCCTGCCGTCGTAGTTACAAATCACTGAGTTGGTGACTCCCAGACGGTGGATGTTGCCCACCACACTCTTCAGTCTGTCAGCACTGGCATCATTGGCCACAATCACCCCTGTGTTCCTCATCAACTGGGCTGTGGGACACACATATACACAATAAATAAGTAATCCAATAAAAGTTAAGTCTTGCCTGTTAAGCCCTAGATCAGGGGTTCTTAAACTTTTTCAGGATGGGACCCAAATGAGAAATTCAGTGTTTTCCTGGGACCCAAGCTCATGAAAACATGCCCCCTTTTGGGGGCCCTAAACGAGATATGGTTGGGTGGCTCCCCCACCTCACAGGCAAAAACATTTTAGTTTTAAAGTTAATTTCCTGCAATTCTACACACTTTGCCATGACTTATGCCATTTTAATATGATATCTGAATGAGAGTGACTAACAAAATCAATGGGGTGCCCCTTGGAGTTCAGGGCCCTTGGGCACGTGCCCTGTGTGCCCGGTCGGTATTCGGCCATGATTAGATAGCTGGCTAGACTAATTTACCAATCTAAAAAGTGTTCGCTGACATCACTAATTAAGTAACTGTCAGTTGCTAGGTTTCCATCCAATTGTCAACAGATTTTCATACGAATATTCTAAAATCTGCAGAAAGAAAAGATGCACATTTTCCCACCAGTGGTGTGTTTTCACCAAACTGACTTGTTGCGAATAGAAATCAGTGCGTGATGACATAGTGCAGACAAAATGTACTTTTTCGCTTAAGTTTTCATGTACTGAATAAACATCTAAAGTTCAATGCGTTTCCATCGCATTTGCAACTCTACCGATAGTTGTCACAAAAACTGTTGCGTTACATAGCAAATGTGCCGACTCTGGTCTTGGCACGTGCGCTCGCAGATACAGTGTGGGTAGGCTAGTCTACATGATTATTTTTTTATGGGTGAGCAAGAATATTTTTATTTTTGAAACGGCTGTCATGCATCGATCATCATGTCACCAGAACAAGACCCTCAATATTTATTGGAAAGGAGCATCATCAAGCTCATCCCGTGCACCTTCACCACCCTGTGAAGTTCATCATAATTTATTTAATCTATAGCCTAATAAATTGCATGGTTTCCCGAGTCGAGTTTCCACTGCCATTTCTCCCCATGTCGAACGAACAAATGATATGTCGCCATTTATAATAATATACAATGGGGAGAACAAGTATTTGATACACTGCCGATTTTGCAGGTTTTCCTACTTACGAAGCATGTAGAAAATCACATTGTATGATATTTAAGTAATTAATTTGCATTTTATTGCATGACATAAGTATTTGATACATCAGAAAAGCAGAACTTAATATTTGGTACAGAAACCTTTCTTTGCAATTACAGAGCTCATACGTTTCCTGTAGGTCTTGACCAGGTTTGCACACACTGCAGAAGGGATTTTGGCCCACTCCTCCATACAGACCTTCTCCAGATCCTTCAGGTTTCAGGGCTGTCGCTGGGCAATACAGACTTTCAGCTCCCTCAAAAGATTTTCTATTGGGTTCAGGTCTGGAGACTGGCTAGGCCACTCCAGGACCTTGAGATGCTTCTTACGGAGCCACTCCTTAGTTGCCCTGGCTGTGTGTTTCGGGTCGTTGTCATGCTGGAAGACCCAGTCACGACCCATCTTCAATGCTCTTACTGAGGGAAGGAGGTTGTTGGCCAAGATCTCGCGATACATGGCCCCATCCATCTTCCCCTCAATACGGTGCAGTCGTCCTGTCCCCTTTGCAGAAAAGCATCCCCAAAGAATGATGTTTCCACCTCCATGCTTCACGGTTGGGATGGTGTTCTTGGGGTTGTACTCATACTTCTTCGTCCTCCAAACACGACGAGTGGAGTTTAGACCAAAAAGCTCTATTTTTGTCTCATCAGACCACATGATGAGTACAACCTTCTCCCACTCATCAGACCTTCTCCCATTCCTCCTCTGGATCATCCAGATGGTCATTGGCAAACTTCAGACGGGCCTGGACATGCGCTGGCTTGAGCAGGGGGACCTTGCGTGCGCTGCAGGATTTTAATCCATGACGGCGTAGTGTGTTACTAATGGTTTTCTTTGAGACTGTGGTTCCAGCTCTCTTCAGGTCATTGACCAGGTCCTGCCGTGTAGTTCTGGGCTGATCCCTCACCTTCCTCATGATCATTGATGCCCCACGAGGTGAGATCTTGCATGGAGCCCCAGACCGAGGGTGATTGACCGTCATCTTGAACTTCTTCCATTTTCTAATAATTGCGCCAACAGTTGTTGCCTTCTCACCAAGCTGCTTGCCTATTGTCCTGTAGCCCATCCCAGCCTTGTGCAGGTCTACAATTTTATCCCTGATGTCCTTACACAGCTCTCTGGTCTTGGCCATTGTGGAGAGGTTGGAGTCTGTTTGATTGAGTGTGTGGACAGGTGTCATTTATACAGGTAACGAGTTCAAACAGGTGCAGTTAATACAGGTAATGAGTAGAGAACAGGAGGGCTTCTTAAAGAAAAACTAACAGGTCTGTGAGAGCTGGAATTCTTACTGGTTGGTAGGTGATCAAATACTTATGTCATGCAATAAAATGCAAATTAATTACTTAAAAATCATACAATGTGATTTTCTGGATTTTTGTTTTAGATACCGTCTCTCACAGTTGAAGTGTACCTATGATAAAAATTACAGACCTCTACATGCTTTGTAAGTAGGAAAACCTGCAAAATCGGCAGTGTATCAAATACTTGTTCTCCCCACTGTATATATATTTTTATACATTATGACTTTACGCGCATAAAAACTGTGGATGGAAACGTGGTTATTGACTGACATAGCAAGAGAAAAACCACTGATGCACAACCACATTTCAAAATGGCACCTTGTGTTTTCTTCTATTCTAACTCCCATGTCGCAAACCATAACCTAAGAAAGGCTGCCCTTGATTATTAGGCTAATTGTAGAGACCAACAGCAGTAAACAGTATTGTGCTCATTGCCATTCAACTCTATTTTTAACATCCTCACCCATATAGGTGGTCTTTCCCCCTGGAGCTGAGCTCATGTCGAGCACCGTCTCCCCCTCCTGGGGAGAGAGAGCCATGACAGGCAGGAAACTAGAGGCTCCCTGCAGCATGTAGTGACCAGCCAGGTACTCCGGGGTCGCACCTGGGAACGGAAAAATACTAGGTTTAACACAGGGCAGACACAGACAGGAAGACACACTCATCAATTCATGTATACTTACTCATAACACACAGAAAGCAGGATAACAGTAGTAATTACAAAATTAACATTCTAATCTTTCATACACATATAAAAGGTTAGAGTGTGCTGGTACTGACCTATGGGTACTGAGGAGTCGAAGATGACCAGGCCCACTTTAGACCACTTCCCCAGAGGATCCAGATTCACCCCTCTGTTGATCAGGGCCTGGGACAAAGAACATACACGTCACTCAGTCTGGCAGAGGAACAGGCATTACTACTAGCATCCAATTATCCTTTGGTCAATTCCAAATGGACCCCTAGTCTTAATCCTTTCAGAGCTATACAAATGCCTAGGTGGTAGGGGTGGAGTTGGGGCACCTTTATTTGAGCCAAGTTGAAAGAGTGAGGTTTGTTACCTGAGCCAAGTCCCTCCTCCTTGTCTTCAGTGTATTGGTCCGAATGGTGACAGGTCGCTGAATTTCATTGGCCTCCAGGAAATCAATCAGCTACAAAGCACATAAAAAGAGGGAAGCCTTAGTTCAGCATGATGACAAAACGTAACCTTCCATAGACTTCCTGTTCATTTTGCGTTACTATAACATTCGGGAGAACAAAGCAATGACACATACCTCTGACACTGGAAAGATATCCAGCAGTTTGTCTATGAGGAAATTGTTGTAGCTGTAGTAAGTGGAAAGATCCTTTTTCAGGAGAGAGAGGTACTCTGTTCTCTCTTTCCCCTCCTCCCTCTTGGTGGCAAAGTGAGACAGAACGTCCACGTTGTCCTTTATTCTCTGGTGGATGGTCTGCAGGTCTACAAGCAAAACGCCTGCATCCACAGGAGAGAGAAAGACACTTAGTACAGATGGAGTCCACAGGCACCGATAAAGAACACGTAGAAATGTGTAAACTGGCATAACAAAAAGCATAACTGTCAAATCTAAAAAGTACAAATCTAACCTCCAAACTCACCCTCTTTTGCTATCTCCTCTGCTCCAGGTAGTATGAATTTGTCCATCTCATCTATATTAGCCTGTACCGTGTCATCTTCATCCATGTCTTCATCTCCACTCTTCCCCTTATCATCATCATCATCATCATCGTCATCACTCTCCTGGCCCATGGCTTCCTGCAGCTTCTTCTGCTTCCTGGCAGCTCGCTCAATGGGGAGCAGCTGAATGAGAGATGAAAAGAGGAGTAAGGAACAGATGATTCAACAGACTAAGACTCAGCACCTTGCTAAAGAACAATAAGAACTTTGAAGGAAGAACATTGTTTTGCTATTTAGAACATGTCCTGGACGCATAACTTCGTCAATAATTTCACATACCTCCTCTCCATCACTGTCTCCTTCCCCCTCTCCTTCACTGTTGTCCTCCAATGCACCGTAGTCATCAACCAGGTCTTCATCATCATCATCTCCCTCAATTAGCAGTTTTTTCCCTTTATTCTTCTCCCCTCCCTCTTGTCCCTCGTCCTCTTCCTGCTCCCATTGGCTGTCACTGTCATCCTCGTCATCTGATTGGCCGACCTCACGCTTCCTCTTTGCTGGCTTCAGCCATTCACTGTTTTCATCTGTGAATCCTTGAGAACAGGGGAAACAAACCAATTAAGTCACCATAGACATTCATGGATATAGTATTGAGAACACAGTGAATGGATGGGGCTGTCTGACTCTGGATCCACATGGACTTAGATGACTTACCCCCCAATGCTAATGAATGAACAGTAACTTACCTTTTTTTGGCTCCTCCTTCTCAATGGTTTCCTTGGGCTTTTTGGTCACCTGAGCTCGCTTCCCAGCTCTAAAAAACGTCATCATCATTATCACCATCATCTTCAGCAAAAGTGTGTAACACTACATTACACAGTGGTTTAAAAATGAGTTGACGACATAACATCCAAAAGATTACAAACATACCTTTTCCTGGACCTGCTTGACAGTCGTTTTGGTGCAGTATCCTCTGCAAATGACAAGCATAGTTAGTTAGTGAGCATCAACCTTTAAATATTCATGTCTCATTCCCAGTCATGTATCCTTGCTTTAGTACCACTGTACTCCCAGCAAGTGAGGTTATACTGAGACTTCAGCTCTTCAGAAGCTGTATGTTACAATAGCCTCCCCCTCACCATCCGTTAAGAACTTGGCCAGCTCAGTCTCTGCTCCTTTCTGCTTCCTGGACTTCCGCCCCGGCCCCTTCTTCACATAAGTGGTGGGATCCAACTTCCTGCCCATGACTAACACCTACACAGGTAGTCTGGAGAGAACATATAAGTTATGATCAGTTGGTAGAGCATGGCGCTTGCAACGCCAGGGTTCTGAGTTTGTCACTAACTGTAAGTCGCTCTGGATAAGAGCGTCTGCTAAATGACTAAAAATTTAAATGTAAAATTATCATGTTGGATTTACACACTAAGGCATAGGATCAGAATGGGATGAAGGTAGTCACTAACTATGCACTGATGGCAACTGAAAGATGGTTGCTAGCTATATTCTCAGGAACATGTTTTTCAGAATCTGTTCCAAGAATGTTGCAAATAACAAAATTATAAATAACGACAAATCCGCTTAACTTGAAAAGTTTATTGAAAACAGGTTCCTGAGAATATATCACCTCTTAACTCTGACCTGCACTCTGATGTGGACAAAAATAAAAAGGAATGTGAAATATTAAAAATGTGACATGTCACTAACATCACGGTGTTATATGTAGTTATTATAATACGTGGAACATCCTTTTCATATGCCAAGTGGGCATTCTCTTCATAAGCATGTTAGGTAGCTATCTAGCTAATTAGTTGACAACTGTTAAGCGTTAGTGGTCCTCTGTAGCTCAATTGGTAGAGCATGGCGCTTGTAACGCCAGGGTAGTGGGTTCGATCCCCGGGACCACCCATACGTAAAAATGTATGCACACATGACTGTAAGTCGCTTTGGATAAAAGCGTCTGCTAAATGGCATATTATTATTAGTAGTACAAACTTCCACGCATGCTAACGTTATCCATCAATGGTATCCGCCTACACTCAAGTATGATGATATGCCGGTAATTAGCTAACGTTAGGTAACGACACATTGACTTCTCAGTTAAAAACAGACAAGTTGCATTCTAGAGACAAAACAACGTTAATATCATGAGGTTGCTATGTGCTGTAAAGGATGTTACCTAACTAGTTAGCTGGAACTTGCTTCCACATACACTGTGCAAGTCCGTCACCATGACTTGTTCATTCACTAGTGTATGGCACAAACAATCACGACATTTCTCTTTACGACAACTCTCCAAAACTCACCTTTGCAATAGTTTAAGTATAATGTATTTATTCGATCCTTGATTCCAGTTTACAGATTAAATTTACGCACATGTGACTTTTTTTCTAGCACACGTTGATTCCCGGAAGAAACACACATGCGTTTCCGGCGCATGTGATATACGAAGGCAAAATGCAAATCTTTGCAGAGGGAGCACAGAGTTTTCAAACTCTGGAAGTAGGTTGGAAATATTCTGTCTCTTTTATATACTAACTGAAAATAAACTTTTACTCATTCCGTTTCGTGTAGACCTATGTGAATATAATTAATATTACAGATTTGAGTCATTTTCAGTTGTATGCATTGTCCCAATTAATAATGTTAATAATATGTTATTTCCCTGGGGCATTGACAATCAGAGATAATAATCAACCTTTTTCGATTATATACTGAACAAAAATATAAACGCACCATGTAAAGTGTTGATCCCATTTTTCATGAGCTGAAATAAAATATCCCAGAAATATTCCACATGCACAAAAATATTATTTATCTCAAATTTTGTGCACAAATGTATTTACATCCCTGTTAGTGAGCATTTCTACTTTGCCAAGATAATCCATCCACCTGACAGGTGTGGCATATCAAGAAGCTGATTAAACAGCATGATCATTACACAGGTGCACCTCATGCTGGGGACAATAAAAGGCCACTAAAATGTGCAGTTTTGTCACACAACACAATGCCACAGGTGACTCAAGTTTTGAGGGAGCACGCAATTGGCATGCTGACTGCAGGAATGTCAACCAGAGCTGTTGCCAGATAATTTAATGTTAATTTCTCTACCATAAACCAGCTCCAAAGTGGTTTTAGAGAATCAGTAAGTCCAACCGGCCTCACAACCACGTGTAACCACGCCAACCCTGGACCTTCACATCTGGCTTCTTCACCTGCGGGATGGTCTGAGACCAGACAGCTGATGAAACTGGGTTTGCACAACCTAAGAATTTCTGCACAAACTGTCAGGAACCGTCTCAGGGAAGCTCATCTGCGTGCTTGTAGTCCTCACCAGGGTCTTGACCTGACTGCAGTTCAGCATCGTAACCGACTTCAGTGGGCAAATATTCACCTTCGATGGCCGCTGGCATGCTGGAGAAGTGTACTCTTCATGGATTAATCAGTTTCAACTGTACAGGGCAGATGGCAGACCGCGTATATGGCGTCGTGTGGGCGAGCGGTTGCTGATGTCAACGTTGTGAACAGGGCCCCTTGGTGGTGGGGTTATGGTATGGGCAGGCATAAGCTACGGACAATGAACACAATTGCACTCACACTCACAGACCGTAGTTTTATTATAGGCAAATAAGCGCCACCAACCGGTACTCGCACACACCTAGGCGTTGCTTGCAGTAAGTAGCTAGCTCAAACCTACAGAGTATTTTGGTTGCTTGCTTCTGGTGACCCGTCCCGCGTTAAATATAATTATCGAACGACCGTTTAATTATATATATCTTTTTTCGAACGACCGTTTGAAAACTGAAATTGTTGTTTTTTGAAAATGGAAATTGACAACACAACTTTGTCATCATTTCGATCGCTAACGTATCCCACTTTCCCAACTCTGTCTGACCATTTAACATTAGCTAGCTATCTTTACTTAATGTGATTTGCTCGACCACAACTTGTAATCAAGGATATGCCTAGAAACGACCGCAACAATAAAGATGTCAAACGAGAAAGGAAAAGGAAAGTTAACATAGAATCAAAGGGAACAGTTACAGTAATCAACGGAGGACAAGAGAAAGTTCAACGTAAACCGCCAGTAAAACCACCGGTCAAGTCACCGGTGAAGCAGCAAACAAAGCCAGTAAAAAATCCAGGTGGTCGGGGCCTTGGGAAAGCAGGAGCTAGACGTTTGGGTCAGCTATTGAAGCGTGCAATCCAAGAGAAGAAGAATGTTACAGGAAACGAAAAAGTGCCTTTGCCAAGTGAGTGATCTAGCTAGCTACTTTAGCGTCTGCAATATTTGCTTGCTCATATTGTGAGAGGGTGTGGGGTTGGGGGAACAGGATGGCGTCTGTCAACTGGACACCTAGCTGTTACGCGAAGAGATCGGAACATTTTGACGAGGTCGCTAGGTTTTGGGTCAAGGTTGCTACACTACCCCCATCCTTCAGAGGGCGCATTGTTGTGCATCACTCTTGCCACTCTTGATGACCGCAACCAGGGGGTAGTCATAAATGGGGCTTGAACCCAACACTTTATCTGGTGCGCCAAGATATCCAAACCTCTTGACCAGGTCGCTAGGTGTTGGGTTAAGGTCGCTACAATATCTTCATGATTTTCAAAAAGCAATTTAGAAGTAAGTATGTGATGTTTATGTCAATTAAAATATTTCATAACCATTGAGTGTGTCATCTCAATCTGTATCCAGCGACCCCAGTTCGCCTGTTCAAGTACCAGACACAGGCAGAGGCTGCATCTGCACCCAAAACCAACGATGCAAGGCGTGTGGCTACCCGGGTCTCCCAGCTCATCCTTCGGGTAATCTCCCAGTGCAAGCACCGGGGTGGCATCTCCATGGTGGACCTCAAGCATGCCCTGGCTGCTGGTGGCTATGATGTCACCAAGAACAACACCCGTGTGAACTTAGCAGTGAAAGGCCTGGTGAGGAAGGAGACACTGGTGCAGACTACTGGAGCTGGTGCATCTGGGTCATTTAAACTCAACAAAAAGGTAACTGTTTGAATAATACATTTGTCAATGGTGGTTTGTGTTTTAGCTCCTTGGCAGTTTAATTTTCCACTGGCTCATTTCAACTGAGTAGGAAGCAAATTGCACCACGGTGCATAATTCACTGTCAAACCACAACCAGTTATTTGGGAATTTTGAATTATGCAGATGTTTCTCTCTCGTCTCCTGTTCTAATACCACAGAAACTGACGTATGAGAAGAGAGTTAAGACAAGAGCCATGAGAGACCGTGCAGCAGTCGAGAGGGCCAAGCAAAAAAAAACGACTAAACCAACAGGAAAAGCAGTGAAACCACCAGGAAAAACTAAACCAGCAGGAAAAGCGGTGAAACCACCAGGAAAAACTAAACCAGCAGGACAAGCATCAAAATCACCAGCCAATGTCCAAAAAACAGGCTGCAAAGCCCCTAAACCTGCAGGAAAGGCCTTGAAAGCAGCCAATCAGAAAACTCGCAAAATGGTTGTAACCCCCAATACAAAGCCACAGATAAAGCGACCTAGGGTTGCCAAAAGACGTGCTTCCTTGTGGAAATGGACCGAGAGTATGGACTAAAAGAGTAATGTCAGTAGTAGATTTAGGTCAAACTACCGTAACCTTACAATGTTATATTTTGTCAAATCATTATTATTGGTTTTATTATATTATTACTCACAAATTACATGTATATCGAGTGATTATTCAACCAGTATTACATCAAAACATGATTTGTCCCCATCATGAGTGTTGAATAGTTTTGTTCCCTACTTTCCTAGTCTCTTTGACAAGGAACAACTGAAACCTGAGGACAAACTATACAGTTTATTTCCACTGTATAACCATGCGAACAATGGTGCACTGAATACATGTAAAAAAGCAAAACAAATACAAGAAAAGTAGGAAGACTATATTTGGTGCCAAGTCCTTACAGATGGTGTATTAAAAACAGTATTAATTTCATATTGAAACTTTGCCTTAGTTGAAACATGTAAAATACCATATTTTAGACAATACATACACCCATAGTATCGTACAAATCCACAGTAGGTCATTGGTGAATTGGACTGTTTCTGTACAATGTTTCTTGACTGAACATGACTGTCCGATCCATTTCTAGTCCATGTACGACAATGTCCATGATGACAACAGTTTTAGCTGGAGCAGCAGTGCGCTGTCAACTTCATCACAACACGCCCCAGACCTCCTCAAAGGCAGAGCACATCTTGGCACAGGTGAGGGCAGCAGAGAGAGGGTAGTTACTGATGGACACAGTCTTCTCTGTATAGTCCACATTCACCTAGGAGAGGACAAGCAGAGTTCAAACCAATAAATCATAATTTACCAAATTCCATCTTTTTTAATTGGTAGAGAATAAATAAACAAAATCAACATTTATAACATACACACTACCTAAATCAACAGTGCTTCTGCCCCCGAGAAGTAGGATGAAGATGCCCCTTAACACTGATCTAAGGTCTGTAATGATGGAGGGTAAGTTAAGTTGATCCTAGATCAGTGCACACGGGCCATTACCTACAGCCTTAAGCAAAACTCACCGCTCCGTGTGCGAACGCTCCGACCACCACAGCGGCGGGCCCCTCCTCTGGTACCACGGTGCGGGCGCCCACTGCCTCCCCAGAGGAGAAGGAGGTACAGATACGGGGGCAGCCAGGGGGCAGGTGGTCTGACACAGGGTTTTTGATGAGCTTCAGCAGGCGCTGGGGGCCGTCAGCCGCCCTCACACTCAGCTTGTGCAGGAGCTGGACTAGGAGGAGAGAGAAAAACAAGTGGGATGAAACAAGAGAAAGGGGGAGAAATACAGTACAATAGAGGGGTAGGAGAGAAGGACGGTAGGAGAGAAGGTATGAAGAGAAATTCTGCAGAACATAGCAGGCTTACCCATGAGGCCACAGAAGCGGTTGAAGGTTCGGGGGATGCGTGTCTGTGGGTTGATCTCAATCAGGGCGTTCCTCTCTGTGTGGATGTAAACCTGCAGGAGACCTGCCCTGTTCAATGGACTGTCCATCAGCATCAACAAACACTGGGGAACAATTACAAGATATGGCAGGGTTAGAGGAGAAAAAAAGAAAGATGATTGGTGTTCCAAGGGTCAATGTGAAAATGACAGCTTACCTGATGTGTAATGTCAGGTCGAATCTTCCCAGGGTCCCGTCCACTTTTAATTATCATGCCCTTGTGTTGGTCACAGTTTAGCAGCTCAAATGTCTTGCCAACCTGAGAGGTAAGGGCCGAGTTTAGGAAACCCTGCTTTAGGACTTGCATCAGTGTGTTTGCAGGCAGGAGCTAACTAATAACAAATAGTTTCATCCTGGTTCATTCAGTCACAAAAAAACAGTTATCGTGAAGAATGCAATAGTCATCATATAATACATATATCAGGCAGGTCTGGTTGAACAGGAAGCTATATAAATTGTTTACATACAATAACGCAGGAAGTCAGACGCAGCTAGCAGTAGTTTGCCAACACACCAGTTGTATTGCGGAGCGGAATAGAAAAATACTCGTCTTTACCTTCACTGTTTCCAGCGTTGCCCCCTCTAAAATAACTACTAGTCGCCTTTCCGCCATGCGATCGTGCAGGCTACGCATATGTTTTGCTGGTTTGGGTTCATATTCGTCTAAATGTTCAAGACCACGCTTGTCACCGCTGTGGGCTTCCATGTTGCTTCGGGGTGGTAGTCGCAGGAATAATACGTCATACTGGAGGAGTTTTGGCAAGGTTCTGCCCCTCTGCTCGGTTTCCTTAACTATAATAAGGAGAAAGAATAATGTTTTACCTCTTCAATCTAATTGTGCTAATGGACACATTTCATATTAATGTAAATTCACAAATAAAAAAACACACTTCCATGTTTTCTATAAGGAGTTCGAGCAGTACATTAAGACGTTCTACATTCTTCCAATAAGAAAGCTGTTAAAACAATCAAATCAAATATAATTGTATTTGTCACATGCGCTGAATACAACATGTACATTTACATTATGTGTAGAATACAACATGTGTAGTAGACCTTACCGTGAAATGCTTACTTACAAGCCCTTAACCAACAATGCAGTTCAAGAAATAGTTAAGAAAATATGTACTAAATAAACTAAAGTAAAAAAAAAAAAAAAGTAATAAAAAGTAACACAAAAAAGTACATAATAATAACCAGGCTAAATACAGGGGGCACCGGTACCGATACGTGTGTCTTTTAAGGTCTTTGTATAATCTGTAATTTGTTGTACCCCCTAGCATATGTTATCATTGTCTGTTTGTATACTTCTTGTATGTTTACTGGTGTTTCTGAAATAAATAAAAATAAAGGTTCTGCCCCTCATTTGAATGACTGATTATCAGAGCCGGGCCGCTCATTAGGCAGCAGCCTAACGCGGCAGATTGACGAGGACGGCATTTTCTGAGCTAAACTAGCCAAGACGCACCTCCAACAACACATAAAACCTCACAATTCTGCCCATAAACAATGACAGTTTCTTTCAACCAGTGACATATGGGCTTTTTAGGTGAGCGCTGATGCAGCCCTATGATAAGCAGTGCCCACTTTGTCAAAGGCAGGGAAGCAAAATGTCCATTCCCAGCCGCCTCTCCAGCGTGCTGTTGTAGAGACACATCGCTGCAGCGCTCCACCAACATTCCGTCAAAACATTAATCTAACATAAATCATGTAGCAGATATAGCATATGGTAGAAAATGTATGTGGTCTTTTCTGTAGACTACAGGCTGGAGATAAAATGTATGACAATGTAATGAGACGGAAACTTTTTACATTACGTTTCTCCGATCAAATAGCCTAACCTAGATTGGCGCCCAAACACTAGTCCTATCGCTTGCCTGTCCACAGTTTTGACCTAGCTATTAGAAACATGTTGTATAAGAAACAAATATTAAATGTAAACGTTGATTACTCCATAAGAAATACAACCCCCTTCACATAAAAAAAAATCAACTTTATTTTGTAGAATTATCAGCCACACATCTATGACTGGTATTTATTTACACTCACACGCTATTCATACACACGTTTTCATCTAAACTGGCAGACACACTCTCCCCTACAGTTAACAAAGGTAAGCAGACCAGAACCTCCTAACTTAACTAATAGTATCCTTATGGATAACAAGATGCTTGTTACATACTGCACAGTTTTAAATAAACCACAGACAATATGGATAGTTTTATCTCAGAACCCAGAAACAAATTTCCCATGTGCAGGATGTCACAAGAGACTATGGATGGATGTGCCTAATGAATAATCAACTCTCCTGTCAGATGCATTTGGACATAGCGTTCTGTGCTATTGCCCTTCAAATCAGAGTCTTATGTGTTCATCAATGGCTCTGCATATTTTGTTCAGTAGGAGATGTTACTGTAGATCTGTAGGTCAGCATGTCCCTAAGAGGTGCTGCTGGGGTTTGTTGGGGCAGGTGAGGGTCATAGGGCAGAGATCAGAGTACCCACAGATGACAGTAACCAGGAAGGAAGGTTCAAAGGGCATGAACTCATGGTACGGGTCAGAGTCGCAGTTAATCTGAAAGAAGATAATATCAATACAATTATAGGAAAGAAAACGTCCATTAGTAGGACATTCATATCCATGGTAAAGTGATGATTTTAGGCATCTGCAATTATTGTTCTGTTACTGTTCTGTTATCCTTACCTGAGTGAATGAAGTAAGGAACAGATGAGTGTGAGAGAGGCCTGAGAGAGAGGAGTCCCCAGGATATTTCTTCAAACTCTGATTGTAAGCCTGAGACACAGAGAAATAGAGACACAGAGAGTAAAGGGGATAAAGAGGAGGAATAAGTAGAGAAAGCTTTGACAAACATAGCATGCCTCTGATACCAACCAAAACATAGTATGCCTCTGATACCAACCAAAACAGTATGCCTCTAATACCAACCAAAACATAGTATGCCTCTGATACCAACCAAAACATAGTATGCCTCTGATACCAACCAAAACAGTATGCCTCTAATACCAACCAAAACATAGGATGCCTCTGATACCAACCAAAACATAGTATGCCTCTGATACCAACCAAAACATAGTATGCCTCTGATACCAACCAAAACAACTGAGGTGCTGAAATGTAAATAGCCTAGATACCCTAGAATAGATTTGGAATTCCAATAAACTGACCTGTAGCGCAATCTGCAGGGCAGAGTACTGCACCCACATCTCCTGCTGCTGTGCCGGTGACAGCGAGAACGCCCCCACTCTCCCTGGTCCCTCTGTCACACCCAGGTACTGGGACCACACACACTCTCCTATGGACCTGGGAGACACACTCTGAGAATGGACTAAAGCACAGGGTGAACGGTCAGGGCACACACACATGCATCATGCATAAACCTACACACACACACGCATGCACGCACGTACACACACACATAAATAAACGTGTGCAAAATGCAAACTCTGCACATAATTTAATGAACTGCATTACAATCAGAGAGTAAATCATTGAGACTATTTGCCTTACTGTTGGGTAGAAGGAGATGGAGAATATCTTTGGCCATCAAAGACCCCAAAACCCCAAAGTTGACGGCCCTGACACAAAAACATGCAAATACTCCACAAAACACGTCTCTTTGGGGAATGAGATTCTTTATCTCAATAAGACTCCTTGGTTATTAATAGTTTATTATGTGATAGTAAACATATCCGTTTGGGTTACCTGGGATAGGTAGGGTGGAAGAGAGGCTGGACAAACATCCCCATCGGAAAGACAAGCTCATTGCCGGAGAGAAATGGAGTGATGGACCAACTGGAGGAGAAGATGGCGAGAGAGAGAGAGACAGAGACAGAGAGGGCGAGAGAGAGTTCTCAATTTTCATATTCACGTATTAATAACACATATCTACCCAAACCAAATCACATAGACTTTTCATGACAACTGGGCTCTCACATATCATCTCCTTCAGTCTGGGAAAATAGTTTGCTTGGTCGCTGGTGCTGGAGGGAAAGAGACTGGATGTAGTTGGAAAAATAGTTTTGTTCGTCAATTGTCACCTATGAATAAAATAAATTGTGGAAAATGAACTACCAGTATGTATATAGTACAATGTATTATCAACACTGGTAATATGATTCATTAGTGATATTGATTAAGAAATTCTATTTCTTATTGGCAATGTAGACTAGTTCCACTCTCAATAATATACTCTACCTTTGAATACAGTTGGTTGAGTTCAGCTTCACTGAAAATGTAGTTTTTAGTTGAAAGTCTTGGAGTTAGAGACCGAATCTGGGAAAACACAGATTGTACATTTCAAGTGGACAATGAATACACAGTTGTTTTTAAATAAGTGTTTCAGTAAATTACATCCACTGTTTACCTTTTACCTTGTTCAAAACAGACATGCGAGTCTCCTCATCTCTCCACCTGAGATCAGGTAGTTTGGACTTGATGGAGGAATATATATTCTGAATCAGCTCCTCTGCCTAGAGGAAACAGATAATACAATTTAAACACACTTATAATGTAATATCATATTTATGAAGTAGTTTTCTTGTATTTCTTTGCTAAAAATAATTTTTCTTGAGGTTTTTCACATTTGAGAATCATAAATACACTACGTAGCCAAACGTATGTGGACACCCTTTCAAATTAGTGGATTCAACCGCCGAGTGTTGAAACGCGTAACGCGTAAAAATTGTCTGTCCTCAGTTGCAACACTCACTACCAAGTTCCAAACTGCCTCTGGAAGCAACGTCAGCACAATAACTGTTTGTCGGGAGTGTCATGAAATGGGTTTCCATGGCCGAGCAGCCACACAAGCCTAAGATCACCATGCGCAATGTCAAGCGTCAGCTGGAGTGGTGTAAAGCTCGCTGCTATTGGACTCTGGAGCAGTGGAAATGCGTTCTCTGGAGTGATGAATCACGCTTTACCATCTGGCAGTCCGGCGGACAAATCTGGGTTTGGCAGATGCCAGCAGAACGCTACCTGCCCGAATGCATAGTGCCAACTGTAAAGTTTGGTGGAGGAGGAATAGGCCCCTTAGTTCCAGTGAAGGGAAATCTTAATGCTACAGCATACAATTACATTCTATACGATTCTGTGTTTCCAACTTTGTGGCAACAGTTTGGGGAAGGCCCTTTCCTGTTTCAGCATGACAATGCCCCTGTGCACAAAGCAAGGTCCACACAGAAATGGTTTGTCGAGATCGGTGTGGAAGAACTTGACTGGCCTGCACAGAACCCTGACCTCAACCCCATCAAACACCTTTGGAATGAATTGGAACGCCGACCGCGAGCCAGGCCTAATCGCCCAACATCAGTGCCCAACCTCACTAATGCTCTTGTGGCTGAATGGAAGCAATGTCCCCACAGCAATGTTCCAACATCTAGGGGAAAGCCTTCCCAGAAGAGTGGATGCTATTATAGCAGCAAAGGGGGGACCAACTCCATATTAATGCCCATGATTTTGGAATGAGATGTTCCCTAGTGGCGCAGTGGTCTAAGGCACTGCATCGCAGTGCTAGCTGTGCCACTAGAGATCCTGGTTCGAGTCCAGGCTCTGTCGCAGCCGGCCGCGACCGGGAGACCCATGGGCGGCGCACAATTGGTAGAGGAGGGTTTGGCCGGCAGGGATGTGGGTTAGTTTCCCACGGGGGGGCCAGTATGAAAAAAATTTACAAACAAAAAAACATGTATGCACTCACTAACTGTAAGTCGCTCTGGATAAGAGCGTCTGCTAAATGACTAAAATGTAAAATGTAAATGTAATGTTCGACAAGCAGGTGTCCACATACTTTTGGTCATGTAGTGTTGTTCACATACAATTCATCAATACATTTGAGTTCATAATTACATAACATGATTTACAGATTTAATAGTCCATGGGAGTTTTTGGAGTCCATCTTATTTATTTTAGTTCTGTTCTGTTTTGATTTGTTAAAAATATAAATAGTGTTCAATCAAAAAGTTGTTTCATAGTCATAATGCATCTTGTCTTCCAAATGTTACTGTTCACCTTAATTCTTTAGTAATGTCAATGCTTATTATTGTCCACCATAATTCTTCAGTAATGTCATCCATATGAGTATTGAAGACACCGTGAAAGACAGACTTGGGATTTATACATACATCAAAAACAATACTTCTCATCAGATCCCATATTTCTTTAGTTCTGTAGCAGTTCACCATGACAATTAGGTATAGGACACAATTTACTTTTTCAATTGATATTTTGTTGCTGCTATTCTTCATCATACATTTCATTGCAGCCTTCATCCTTCTGTCTTTGCTTTCTCTATGCACACACACACACACACACACACACACACACACACACACACACACACACACACACACACACACACACACACACACACACACTGTGCCTCTCACCTCTGTGTATGCAGTGGTCTCTCTCAGTAGGTGTGTTAGTACCGTGTCAAACCCTTTCTCAGTCTGCAGAACACATTGCCTCCAGCGAGGGACATCCTGAGAGAAGCAAAAAGCAATGAACTACAAGTCCCAGACAATATAATCACTCCAAGCCAGTGTTATTCAACTACAAGAGCAAGCTGGGAAATGTAGTCCATATTTCAGTTACCTCCCCTGTAGTCCCCAGAGCTAAGGAGAAATGTCTCTCTGTCTGAGTGAACCTGGAGTCCAGAGCGGGTATGACAGTGTGGAGGAGACTGAGGACCATGAAGGTGTGAAGAGGGCCACTAACCAGAGAGATGAACAGGCACCAGACAAATGTGTACTGATTACTATACAGTATACCATGCTGTAAGTAACAGAGGTAGTTTGTGTGATGAGAAACCTTCAACCAGGTTTGATACCTAGGTTTGTTGTATCGGTTACTGTCTTTTGCATGACATTTTTGATTGATATAAAGTACCTGCCACTCAATTCATGCTTGTTCAGCCATTTGTCGATGATGCGGGACATGTGGACGATGTAAGGGAGGTTGTGCAGGAGGACGTGATCCGATTGGCTAACAGGGTGGGGATGGAAGGTGGCCTGTAGACAGCCCAGCCAATCAATGGCAGGGGACAGGGTCTGTGCACAAAATAAGAAAGATGCATTCTGTATAGGGAAATACAGGCACACAAATACAGTAGGTCTATGAGTTAGTGAAGGGGAAGGTTAGGGTACAGAGAGAGAGAACTAGAGACCCACACACATACGTACATACACATACACCCGCACCTGTAGCTCTTTGATGGTGATGCGTTGGTACAGTAGCCCCTGCTGCAGGCGATGCTGCAGAGGAGAGGCAGCTACAGCCAGTTCAGAGGACAGAGAGATGAACAGGCCTACATGGAGACCGGTGCTGCTGGAGGGAAAGCCCAACAGGGCCAGCAACCTCTGATACGAGGCCAGGAACGGACGCAGGATCTGGGGGGAAACGAGAGAAATAAAGAGAGGGAACAGAGGGGATGAGAGAAAGAAAGCCAAATGTTGCCATCAAGAGATAGATGATATACTGTAGAACAGATATAGCCTTAGTGTACCTGCGTGTTAGCTTTGGACTTCTGAGTCTTGCTGCTCCATTCAATAGGTATCTGAAAATCCGGCTGATCAATCTATGGAAAAAGAGTGTATCCTATAAATGTATAGGGGATGGGTTGAGTATATACTGTAGTACACCCATTAGGTATTTCACTGCCCCAGAACCCCTGTCTAACTGACCTGTATGTATCTCTTGTCTGCTTGAGTGTCGTTAGGATCCTTGCCCACATAAACACTAAAGAATGGGAAGGTGGCATAGTCTCTCATCAGTAGAGATAGAGTGGAGTTGAAATTTGTCTGGTTCCACCGGCCTGATACAGCCCAGCCACCCAGCTAGAGAAAGGGGGGGGGGGGGGGGTAGAGGGGTAGAGAGAGAGAAGAGGAGAGAGGTAAATCGTTTTTACCAGTAGAGTAGAGAAAGTGTAATTCGTCACCATACACCACCAATCTATTCGAGTGATCTGACCTTGTGGACTAGCCTGAGGAAGGGTTCTGGTCCGGCGGTCTCTGTGGGGCCAGTGTCCATACAGGAACGGTAGAACATACAGGCCTTCTGCTTCGCTGAGTTTCCCGGGATGGAGCGGTCCTCAGCTTCCACAGAGGAAGATTATATCAAAGTTTCATTGTGAGGATAAAAGGTCCTGTTATGGAAATGTTTTCAGCAGTTCTATTTAAATGGTTATCCCAAAGAACTGGTACAACATCTACAGAGGATAAACAGAGCATTTTTTTTAAATTCTCACCCAGAATCTCCCTCATTGTCAGCAGTAGTGCAGTCTGTCTGTCTGGCATTCTGTCTGCTGGAGCCTTTTCTCTTCTGTCCGTGTCTGTCTCTCTCTCCTTCCTCCCTTTTCGTCTCTCTTTCTCTGCTTCCCTGCTCTTGTGGCCCTGTGGGTGTAGGGGGACGCCCTTGCCCCTCTGTCTCCCCCTGGTGGACAGAGACGCATCTTCAGACCCACAGGCAAACAGGAAGTAGTCACAGGGCTGAGAGAAGGGGTCGACTGAGACGGACAGACGGGCGGCTGCCCTCTGACAAGCCGGGGAGGTACATGGAGGAGAGGCTGGCGGTGTGCTCTTTGGTGGGAGGTGCTGCTGGGAGTAGTAGGCCAGGCCCAGTATGGAGGCGCAGAAGGAGGATCCCAGGAGGAAGAGAAGGGGTCTGCGGTGACGTGTCCACACCCAGGGCTTCACCTCCTCTTCAGACTGGGGCTGGGGCTCGGGAAGGGTATCAGGCTGGGGTAGGGGCTCAGGAAGGGTATCTGGCTGGGGTAGGGGCTGGGGCAAAGGCTGGGGAAGGGTATCAGGCTGTGGTAGGAGCTGGGGCTCAGGAAGGGTATCTGGCTGAGGCTGGGGTAGGAGCTGGGGCAAAGGCTGGGGAAGGGTATCATGCTGGGTTAGGGGCTGGGGCTCATAGAGAGGATAGAGTTGGGGCTGGGGCTCAGAAAGGGTATTAGACAGGGGCTGCAGCTCACAGTCAATCTAAATACAATTGAATGAGTCAGTTTCATATCAGGCTTATCATGATACACATTTCTGCTTCATTTAAGACTAATTTGACACCTTTGACCATCTTATAACCTATCTTGTCCTCTACATACCTTAAATAGCACATTAATAACAGGAAGATACTCCTCTATTCAACTTGAAATGTATAGTATGAGACGTAGGAAAATTGAGAGCTTGCTCCAACATCCCCCCCCCAAAAAAAAACTGATGCAATAAGTAGAAAGTGTTAAGCCTTTGGCAGGCCAACACATTGATCTGACATCACCTAGGATCAGCATAAACATTTCAGGAGATAATTAAAAGTCCTTCTGCAGGCTTTACCTGAGGCTCTGCTGGGGTTTCTGCCATACTCTGTTGTGTGTCTTGTTCTGTCTGTCTACGTTTAGGTCGTTGTAGCCACTGATGTTTCTAATTTCTCCCTCACACGTAGCCTCCAGACCTCTATCTCTCCCTCCATCAGCTAGCTGTCGTCTCAGCTCTCTATCTTCTTTCGTCACTCACTTCTCTCCTCCTCTGACATTCTGATAAACAGAGTTGACCTGACAGCCTTCCTCTCTCTCTCTGCTACATTGTCAGGTGGCACTGTGGATACAATTAGACTGTGACAGGCACGTGGGTGTGTCTGATGTGTAGGGGGAATCCTCTTCAAACCACAAGACTAAAATGACTTTACGAGTTTTAAATCAAACGTCATTCAAATGTAATTAATGAGAACAATGTCCCTTAGCAACAGGTTGGTACAGAGCCAAGAAAATCAGCAGAACTCTGAAACACAGAAAAAGAGGAACACATTGTTACCCTGCCAACATTTCCTCAAACGCAAACACATGCGCACACACACCCACCTGTCTGCCAATGTCACTATCAGTGCAGCAGAGGGTCTGGTATGAATTGATAGAGAGAGAGAGGGTGTGCTAGAGGTCATCTGGCAATGTAACACGTCACTGACAGCATAATGGAGGACATGTCACATGGAGGAAGAGAGAGAGAGAGAGAGAGAAATACTGTATTTGATGTGACAGAATGAGGACAATACTGAACAATAACTTACAGGAATAAAGAAATGTAATTCATGCAAATGCCAAACAGGCACAATAAAACCACACCGGATTTAGGCAATGTAGCAGTTTGTTTTATTTTGAGTACAGTAAAATGAAAGAAGAAATATAATGACATGTACTGGTAAATAATGTTGGCATGTTTGGAACCGTAAACATATACACATTCACACAAATATAAGAGAGGAATTCATAAGAACAATATGAAAAGAACAAGGCAATCATTAAATAAATGAGCAAAGTGGTGTTTCTGAAGGCATCATCACACACCAGTGGTCTGACAGTGATGACAAAGGCATGGTCACAAAGGTGGAATCATTTGTGAGAAAAATAAAAATAGGAAAACAACTGTTAGAACACTAAAGGTGCTAAGGACGACCCAGATAACACGCATATTGAGTCCTATTTGGCCATGTGGTTTTGAATGTTAGTTTTGTCATTAGGGTTGTGTTGCTATGCCAGACTGAGGAATGTGTAAGGATGGGTGTTCGGTGCAAACCAGTCTGAACAGGAGAGAGTGGAATCCTAGGGTGAAAATGGCACCTCACCAAGTTTCACATAAAAATCGCAGAAAATAAAAGTACTTATCAATGAAATACAGTATGGTTAGATTACAATTAGAGTAAATATAACTGATATCAACACAAAATTACACTAAGCTGAATAATGGAAACAGTGGTATTCATTGGAATATTATGAGAAAGGAACAATATACTGTGTAAAGCAGACAAAAAAACGATTAAAAATGAACGTGATTTCCATGAAAATAAAGGCAGTGAATTTAAAGCGTGATGCATTTGAGTGACCACTGCCTGGATTTGAAATGTGTTACCAACACCTTGAAATGTATTGGTTTGGTCTTCATGCTGCTGCTACGGTCAATGACCTACTTTACTCTACTGGAAAACGGACAACACCGCAGATTGGGGCATTTCTCTTTTATCCTGCCATCAGGACTGGCCATTTGATCTGTTGCATGTTTATAATACTTAAAACCCTGATTCATAAAATCAGTTTTATTACATTAGTCAGAGATCTGCAAATGCCCCAAATACTAAGCATTTGTAAATGCAGGTGTATAGTTACAGTATTTGTGATTATCATCCTCAATGAAGCGCTCTTGAACGCACACTTATCTGGTGTGCAGGCGAGTTGAGATATCTAATGAATAACATAGGTATAGAGATATTACCTCTCATTCATTCAATTCACCTAAAGGTAAACTGTAGGTCCTGGAAGTTGCCCTCCATCCCCTTTAAATTAAGATTAGGGATGGGGTAGAGTAATCTGATCCTAGAACTGCAGTTAAGAGCAACTTCTGCCTAGAGCGTAGGTCCTGTTCTAAGCCATGCGGCCCACGTTAAACTACAGTACTCTAATTATTTAACATGATGAGATACTAGGAATGGAATCTGTGCTTGGCAAACTTTTTACCTCTTTGTTCTTGGTAGTGTGTAATGGTAGTATCTCCAATCATGATCTTAAATCTTCTATTACACTTTAAATCCCTTTGACAAAGAAATAAATTGTAATTTTGATCATATTGTACCCTCATTCTGTGCTTGATAAAATGGTGAGAGTAACTGACAGTGATCTGTAGCTATGCATGCCTATAAAGCAACAAATGCACACAACAAAAACAAACGAGAGCGACATTCACATTTTTTTTGTGTTTTTTTTTGCACTCCGTTTTTAGCCCTAGAGGAACTACATTTTCCACAGCACACTGCTCTGCTACATCATGTCTGATGGGATATGTAGTTCTGTAGAAAGCACTCTCTAAAGGCAGTTAAGGAACTTGTATGTTTGCAGGCACTACAACTCCCAAAGCGCTTCAGGTGCCACCAGCCCACCAGAGCTCAGCCCTATGAGAGGTGCAGGGGAACATGAATTAGTCCACCTTAAACTTTTGTTCAACTCCTCGTGCACCGGGGTCAGGGGGTTACACTAAACTCCTGGGAAAAGTTGCCAGTAGGCACAGATCTAGGATCAATTTGCCGTCCCCATACCTAACCCTAATAAGTAGGCGGGACCCAAGATCAACATCTAGGGGCAACTTCACCTTACCGTTACTATGTCTCAAATACTCTGTAATAGTTCAACTCTTTCCCTTCCGTACCACTGAAAAGTGGAAGGCCTAGACAAATCAAAGTTGTATGGCTAAAACCTTATTAACATGTTTTCCTATCAGTGGAGAGAGAAGAGGAGAGGAAACCATCTTTGACTGTTGGGACACAGCTCATGACTAAGCTGTACTTGTGCAAGTCATGCTGGGAGATTTAGCGTAAACAAAAAATGGCCTTGATAACACTGGCATTAACACAAGGGGAGAAGGGGAAAGGAGGAGGAATGGAGGAGGGGAGTCTCTCAGTGCAGTACATTACCTCTGGACTGAGACAGGGGGAATAAGCAGAAAGAGGAGCGAGACATAACGACACACACACACACACACACACACACACACACACACACACACACTAGGTGCACAAGTAAAGCCCTGTTGCAAAGACAGAATGGTGGAAGCTGAATGGATCCTGTGCCTTGGATTTGGTTCAAAGTTCGACTTGAATAACAGATGTGTCCACCAATCAATGCATAGCCTTGGCCCGCTGGGTGTGGCACTTCATGCACAGGATCCTGCCGTCCAATGGGTAGCAGCCGTCTGCGTCCGCCTCTATGGAGAGGGGGCGGGAACAATCCTGCAAACAGGAAGAGAGATGGAGAGAGAGGCTTCAGGATGTGCAGAAGGTCACTGGAAAACCTATACATCCAAAACACTCGGGGGACACCCTTCAAACTGTTTAGACATTTAACCATCTCGTCATAATACATCCTTAGGAGTTTATCTTTACATCTGGCACATTCTTTATGTGTTTATAGTACTTTAGATGTAGCATGTCTGTTGTCCTTACCTCACAGCGGTAGCACTTGAGGTGGAAGTTCTTGTCGAGGGCCACGACCCTGACGGTCTCCTGACTGCCGGCGTCAGGAACTATGGGCTCATTACAGCTCACACACAGGGGAGAGAAACGCCTACAGGCAGGGGGACAGAGAGGACATTAGACCTGTACCCCCCCCCACACACACACACACACACACACAATACCTGAGAGAGACATTAGACAGAGAGAGACAAGGAGATGAGAGGACGTACCTGTGGTAGTCTGGGACACAGTATGGGTTGTTGTTGTCGTCAGTGATGAAGGGCGCCCCCTCCAGGCTGCAGGCGCAGGTGCAGCAGCGGAAACAGTGGGCATGGAAACACTGGCCCACCGCCTTCAACACACGGTCTGTAATACGCTCCCCACACCGAGAACACACCGCCAGAGAACTCTGTGGAGACACACAGACAGGAGGGTGAGAGAGAGAGTAAACAAGTTACATGTCTTTGTGTGTGAGAGAGTGAATGAATTACTGTAGGCTTTTTTGTGCATGTAATTGCTGTGTGTGTATATGTGTGTGTACATGTGTGTACTCACAGTGTAGCAGTCCTCACACTGTGGTGTCCCGTCCTTGTCGTAGAACTGCATGCCCTGCAGGGGGCGATGGCAGCTCACACAGCAGAAGCAGTCAGAGTGGAAGAGTTTGTTCATGGCTCTCACTGCAGGCTGGGAACGAGACAGAGCCTCACCACACTTCCCACATACCTCTGAGAGAGAGAGAGAGAGATGAGGAGAGAGAGAGAGAGAGAGAGAGCGCGGAGGGAGAGAGGACGGAGAGAGAGAGGACGGAGAGCGAGAGGATCAAAGTTGGTTGATGCTGACAGAGGCAGAGCTCAGTTAGTCCTATTACACACAGTCATCTAACTAATTACCACAGACACACTGGTCTAGCATCAATGAGAGAGAGGAGGGAGGAGGCTCCTTACTGCCTAATTACACTGATCAATCATTTCCATGAAAGGCCTATCAGAACTACAGCCCAGTCTATCAGAACCACAGCCCAGTCTATCAGAACACAGCCCAGTCTATCAGAACCACAGCCCAGTCTATCAGAACCACAGCCCAGTCTATCAGAACCACAGCCCAGTCTATCAGAACCAACAGCATACTGAGATACAGAACTCTGTGATGGAGTGCTGTCAGGCAGGAACTGGACAAGAAATGATGCTCTGATAATAGAGTATTATTCTGACACGATGGGTATGGTAGTATGAAACAATGAACTAGTGTAGGTGATGAACGGCGGGTGTGTGTGTGTGTACCTGTAGGTGGTGAAGTGATGACAGGAGCGTGTGTGTCCATGTCTTTGATGAATGCATGGGTCATTCTCTCCAGCTCCTCCACCTCCCTCATGGAGAGAGGAACACCTCCACCTGGGACAGAGACAGGCCCAGGGGGCGAGGGCTGGTGGACAGAAAACACACAGATTTAACAGGGGGAGTACTAAACGTGCACGCCCACACACTCACCCCAAAGGGTCTCCTAACATACCTTTGATGAAGGGGGAGTTTTCATTGGCTGGCTGTAAGAAGAGGGTGGTGATGTCATCGCTTTGGGCTGAGGAGGGGGCACAGGAGCAGGAAGGGGCGGGCTCACAGTCATCTGAGAGTCAATGGAAGATGGCTTTGAGTGATTGAAGGCTGGGGGAGCCACTTTGTTGGCTGGAGGGGCGGGGGGAGCGGCAGGAGGAGGAGGGAAGGAGCTGGCTGCAGGGGTAGGTTTAGGAGCAAAACCAAATGGAGCCGGGGTGTGGTTCTGGTTCTTCAGCCCCACAGGAGGCACGGACGTCCCTGTTTTTATGCCCCCAAAAGCCTTAGGAGCCACGAATGGGGCCTTAGCAAATGGCTGAGGTGCAGGCGCAGGAGCTGGGGCGGATGTAGCGTTATTGGCTTGTCGGTGTGTCGTTCGGAGTTTGAGCTCCTCGGCCCAGGGAGCGGGAGGGGGCTTGTCTCCCATCTCTGGAGGGGGGAGGAAGGAGAGGTTGGGCTTGGGAGCGGTGGGGGGAGGACCTGCAAGCTTGGGGGCAGGAGGACGAGGAGCTGAGGACTGACTGGGCAACTGGGGAGACAAGATCAGACAAGAAAACATTACAGGCTATATGTATTGAAGAATTGAAGAGAACTATGGAGACAACGCGCAACAACAAAAACCTCAGGAACTGAGTGCCCCTACAGCTATTTTTGAAGTTTTCCTGTTGAAAATACAATGTTCTATACAGTTATATTTGAAACATTCTAAACAATCCACCCTACTTAACAAGCCGGCTGTGTTTGTAGGAAGGGTGAAAACGACTAATAGTATCATTCAAGTACAGAATTCAAAAACTTAAAAAGGTTGCAGGTAGCGACTTTCAATCGTATCAAATACTCAACATCCACAAAGCACAGGCTCTGAGTCATACAGGGGAACTTGAGCTTATCAGTAGTAATGTGTGTCTGACATTTTTATCATGAGCTTGTGCCAACATTTCTCTGCTCCAGTTCCTCCCAGGAGGATTAAAACCTTCCCCAGACCGCTGGCCTGGCCCCACACCCCACAGGCCTGATCAGAATGGAGTATGCATTGTGTATCTCTCTCTCTCTCTGTCTGTCTGTCTTGCTTGGTCTCTCTTTCTGTTTGCATCTCTTTCTTTCTTTATATGCATCATTCAGGGTGTGGGTCTCTGCATCACTCACTTCCTTGGTGTGAATCAATCTCTGTTTTTGTGCATCACTCTCTCATTGTCTGTGTGTGTGCAGTAACTAACAGCTTACTCATCCTAGAGCCATCAACCTGAACAGACACAAAACAGCCTGGCATCTGGCCAAATGGTTTCTCCTGACCTGCTCTCTCTCTCCCTCTCTTTCTCGACTCTCCCTCTCTACTTTGGAGGCCCCTTTATTCAAACTTCTCTCTTTTTTCCTCAGCTCTGTTTTCCCTCCCTCCGCATCTCATCTTTGTTTCTCTCCATCTTAGTCCAAGTCTTTCCTACTCCCTCTCTCTGTATCATGCTGTGTCTACTGCAGTCTTTTGTTACATTCAGTTTCCCCTGTTGGTTTACTGACATTGTGTGGTTCTATGACGCCCTACAGTATATGACGCTCTCCAGCATATGAAGCTCTACAGCATTTGAAGCTCTACAGCATATGAAGCCCTACAGTATATGAAGCCCTACAGTATATGAAGCTCTACGGCATATGACGCTCTACGGCATATGAAGCTCTATGGCATATGAAGCCCTACGGCATATGAAGCCCTACGGCATATGAAGCTCTACGGTATATGAAGCTCTACGGTATATGAAGCTCTACAGTATATGAAGCTCTACAGCATATGAAGCTCTACGGTATATGACGCTCTACAGTATATGAAGCTCTACAGCAGGGTTCTTCAATTCCGGTCCTGGAGGGCCGAAACGCCTCTGTTTTTCATCCTCTCCTTCTAATCAGGGGCTAATTCAGACCTGGGACACCAGGTGAGTGCAATTAACTACCAGGTAGAAATAAAAAACAGAAGTGTTTCAGCCCTCCAGGACCGGAATTGAAGAACCCTGCTCTACGGTATATGAAGCTCTACAGTATATGATGCTCTACAGTATATGAAGCTCTACAGTATATGATGCTCTACAGTATATGAAGCTCTACGGTATATGAAGCTCTACAGTATATGATGCTCTACAGTATATGAAGCTCTACAGTATATGATGCTCTACAGTATATGAAGCTCTACAGTATATGATGCTCTACAGTATATGAAGCTCTACAGTATATGATGCTCTACAGTATATGAAGCTCTACGGTATATGATGCTCTACAGTATATGAAGCTCTACAGTATATGATGCTCTACAGTATATGATGCTCTACAGTATATGAAGCTCTACAGTATATGAAATACATCCCCTCCTCCCCCTTTCTTGCCCTTCTCTGTACCTTGGGGTTGAAGGGTCCTATGGTCTCCATCTCAGACAGAAGGTCAGTTAGAGAGTCCAGCTGTTTGTCAAAACTAGTCTGCTTTGTCAACCGCTGTGGGAGAGAGAGAAAGGGACAGACAGAGTGAGGGATTGTGAAAGAGTGAGAAAGAAGGGGGGCGGAGAGAGCGAGAGAGGATGATGATTGTTAATCAACAGGCTGAATCTTGACTTTAAATATGTATGCAAACTCGAACTGCCACCTAAATCATACATTTGTGTCAATGGGGAATGTGCACAGAAGTGTACTGATAGAACAGCATGTAACTGATTTGCATGGATCAGAACTTAAGCACGTTAGGCAATAGACATCCACATCTGCTTATTGAGGACATCCCCCATGGTAGCAGATATGTGGATGAGAGTTCTGGCTGTCATCCAACACAATTACACCAATACAATGACAGGTGCTTTGGGACCTTATGGAAAGTACTATATTACAAAACGCATTACATTATTATGATTATTAACCCAGACTCACCTGAGAATTCTCCCCAGCACTGGGGACACTGCTGGGACCAGAGACTGGGAGAGGGGGAGGGGGTGGTGGAGGAGGGGGAGGGGGAGATGGGGAACGGGGGAGACAGACATTCTCCTCAGGCGGGGCGGGGGGGAGGGGCAGGTCATCCACAGCGGGAGGGGGAGGGGCAGGGAAGGCAGGGGGAGGGGCATCAGACGCTGGGGGTGTGGTTGCACAATTTGGAGGAGGGGCTGGCAGCTCATCGTCCAACGGAGGAGGAGGGGGCGGGAAGTCTAATAGAAACGGGGTAGGGGTGATTGGTTAAAACAAAGGCATGGCAATCAAATGGTTTCTAAATGTTCTGTAATTCATTCAAAACCTGTCATCTATTCAATGCACCCACCCAGCCATTCGCTCAAGGGAACTCCATGACAATACCGTTTTTACACACAGAGACAGTGAAATGATACTGTCAAGAAAATAGACTTAAAGGGATAAGTAGATGGGTAAGTAGAAAAACGGCTTAATTGCCAGAATCTCGCACTATCCCTTTTAAATGCAGTGATTGGAGTGTGAGAGTAACAGGAGGGGTGAGTTTTATTGATGGGATGAGGGCCATGTTGCAGTCTACCAATCTGTTGGGTTGCTAACACCAGGCTCAAACTCTGGGATCCAAAATCCTTGTTTTATCAGAAACACAGCTAAATACTTATAACTAAATAATAACATGCTTGATGCTTCTATTGCGAGATAAGTCTGGTCCTAAAACAACCCCAAGCCACTTCCCCTAACCCCTACACTGGGCTTAGGGGACCCTTCACCATATTGTTTACACCTATCCAGTTACTTCACATCTGCACTGTGAAGGGAAAGAGTTTAAGTGAAGGAGTTAGGGGTCACTTTGAACCAGACAACTAGATTTTTTACAAAATGACAAACGAAAAGGGCCAATCACCTTCGCAGAGCGATGGTGGGGGTGGAGGCATCACTCCAACTCGACCAATGACAGCTGTGCCGACACCGCGTGTTGAGGAGACCACACTGGGGGGAGGAGAGGGACCTGGGGGAGGAGTTGAGCCTGGAGGAGGCGACGGGTCGGACTGGCTTTTGGGGCGTGGCGGGTTGACCGAGGCAAACTTCTTTGGCTGGTTGTAGAAGGAGGGGGTGGTGACTTTGAGGTTGATGGAGGAAGTCACCATGAAGGGCTTACTGCTGCTGGAGTCAGCCATGTTGTCTCTTTACTATCTGAGGAGAGAAGAGGACAGCTGCTCTTTATGAGAATATTGGTTTATTAGAACGATTTAGAAGAGGACAAACACAATCCATTCCAAATCAATATCAACTCAAATGAGCTGTAGGGAGGCTGCCAACTCTTAGAGAGATAGCTGTATTACAGAGGAGGTCTATCAAACCTGGAGCACAGCTGTAAAAGGGATAACAGTGACCGAAGCTAAAATAAACCTTTGATATATAATGAACCATGGAGCATTAGCTTATCTGAGGCGAGCACACAGAGCTTTTGAAACAGTAAGGGAATATTTTTCTTTGGTGAATTAGTGGGGACACATCAACCAAGGACCTAACAAACCCACAGCCTAACTACAGGAGCACACACACCTATGAAAGACCTTGGCTGCTTTACACAGTACCTCGCCCTAGATTGTAAATACACACTAGCCACTCCTTAGGCTCAGTAAGGAGAGAGGCATACCGTAAACATAGCGTCACTTATAGCTGCTTCAAGGTCAACTCTCAGTATGAAACCGTTCACTGTAATAAAAACTGTTAAGAACTACAGCATGGTTTACTATAGGAATGACCGGGTCATTGAGCTATGTCAAGGAGAGGGTCATTCAATGGGTTAGCTCAAATATTTACCTCACACGTGTTTGTTACAAATGTTGACGTTACCTCAGCGGCTCTCTCAGATTCCTCACAAAATCAGAATGCGTTTCCCCAAACGCCTGTGGCCCTGTAGGTGACCCCTGGTTAAACAGAGACGTGGCTCTCGTCCTCTCTTTCTCAGTACCTGTCTAACATTACTTTCAGCTAGATGTGAGGCTGTTATAGTGCCCTACAGAGTATCTATATAAATAACGGCATTGATGGGTCCTAGCCAGTGCCTCACCACTGGCGCTGGATCGTAAATAAGCCGAATGGGTTATGACTAGAAACATGGTTTTGTCCATAATGTGAAATCCTTTTGTTAGATCACAGAGCAACAACATATTTAGGAACCGTTGCCATAGTGATAATATACATTGGGTTCTCTCAGGCCTGGTTTGTTTTGGATGTAAAAGCTGGGCCCCAAGAACTAGCCTAGTACGTGCTGTGATGTGGGTTCATGATGCAGGTGACTGATTTCTTTCTCCATGATCAGAATCAGCCTTTAGACGAGGAATCATTTCCCACTCAGGCTTGACTTTAATGTTACGTCATGTCCGTTTCATAAGAGTCTTAACGTAACTTCCTTCCCAGTGTCACCAGATTTCTATTAAATATGACCTATAATTAATTATAATCTCAGTGAAATAGTTATTTTATTTTCATTAAGTATGTTAAAAAGCAGCTTTTCTGTGTTGGAATGGTGTGGGTGTACCCCAACAACAGAATGGCGTGGGTGTACCCCAACAACAGAATGGTGTGGGTGTACCCCAACAACAGAGTATATGAGTATGGTGTATAACGGTCATTAAAAATATTAATGCAAGTAGATCGCTGACTGGCAAGCTCAGCCAATCAGCCAATGAGCCAACATGACATAATGTTCTAGGAGTAAATCGCAGGCACATTATTTAAACGGTCTGTGAAATACAAGTTGGAGGTGGGTTTTTTAAAGTGTTTTTTCTCCAATTTATGCTTTGGCCACAAATATCAGTATAGGACAAGTCAACAACATAATTTGGGTATGAGCTAACAGAATATGAACTTTAAAAAGTATTTCTTAAATCGTTTTTCAGTTTGAAATTGAGGTTGGTGGGCATTTTGAGGTTTCCACATTGCATGTAGCTGTGACTTGGGGGACACAAGTTCTGACAAGATAAAGACATCAACAGTGGGTGAAAGTATTCCTGATATGCTGACGAAGGTCTCACCACAGAGTCTGAAGAAAAAAACACAGGAAGTAAGCTAACTTTCTTTCTTAGGATCCTCTGTAAAACACAGGAAGTAAGCTAACTTTCTTTCTTAGGATCCTCTGTAAAACACAGCATTTTCTATATTTCACTCACAACTTCTTACTTTAGCAGTTAAAATACTGACAGGAAGACAAAGAGAGAAGTGATCATATTTGCACTCACAAGCCTTCAAAGTGAGCAACAAAAAGCCACAAACTGCTAAATCTTCACTTTTATTTTTTCAAAATTGACTTACCATTAAATAATGCAGAGAAGAGCAGGATGAAATATTAAAGGAAAATGACCAAAGGGGACATCAACCAATCTGGTTGCCCACCCTAGCACAGAGGCTGCTGTAGGCTAGCTAGCAGCCTTATTTATAAAACACCCGTGGGACTAGGACAGATGGAAAGAGGGGGGTAGATGGACAAACGGACACACAAAGTGGTCTTGGAAACTGGCTGAAAAAGTCCAACCTAACAAGAGTCCAACACTCCACGGACAAAGCTTTGGCTCCTCTCTGTGATTAAAGAAATAGCCTACACCAAGCAGAGCAGACCTCCCCTGTAATATCCTCAGTCAGACAGAAACCTGTTGAAACCTCTGCTAACGAGGTCCAGGGCGTTGGATCCCAGCAGACTGTTCAGTTATGAGGGAAATATTTATTCGCTTTGATCTGTAATGGCTTTCTACCTTTCTAGAGAGCCAGTGCTCTACACTAAGTGGAGGCAGAGAACTAGGCTTATTGGTTCTACATTTTTACAATTTAGTCATTTAGCAGACGCTTTTTCCCCCCCATACTGGCCCCCCGTGGGAAACGAACCCACATCCCTGCCGGCCAAACCCTCCCCTACCTTGGACGACGCTGGACCAATTGTGCGCCGCCCATGGGTCTCCCGGTTGCGGCCGGCTGCGAGAGAGCCTGGACTCGAACCAGGATCTCTAGTGGCACAGCTAGCACTGCGATGCAGTGCCTTAGACCACTGCGCCACTCGGGAGTCAATTCTCGTGCTCTCATTTAAAAGGGTCTCATTATATTAGATAGCATACTGTAGAGAAGCTATAGGGATAATGCATGAGACAGTCACAGGACTGAGACATGCTAGGGGCAAACGTTCCTCATGTCCCTGGAAATTATTCTAAATCAGAAATAGACCACCCTATTTGAGGAATTAAAATCAAACCAAATACTGCTATAAACAAAGTTATTTTTTATGATGTATTATTTTAATTTACTATTCAGCCAACTGTAAAGGCATTGACAAAAAACATTCCCCACAGATGAAATTTGATCCAGAGATGATGAGACCCATGGTGAGAACATTTGGCACTTCAGTTGAGTGACATCATCAACACCATGGTCTGCTTTTTCCTCTCCCTCTATGTCTCTCTTCTGCTCCCCATTTCTCCCCCTAAATCACTCTCTACCTCAACCCCCAATCTCCCTCCTCTCATTTCAGTTGGATGACATCACCAGGGTCTGCATTTCATCATCTTAACTAGTTTTACAGCTTGGCTGTGAGGCGAAATCACGTGTATAGAGAGCAATAATATAATAATAATAATAGCTCATAGCTTATTGAGTACATTATGATTTCCACATGGTCGTAGGTCTACAAATGAGGATTAGAAGACAATTCATTTGGTAGAGGAGATTATATTTGAGATGGCTTGCAAGGCCCAGACATGGATTGAAATATATTTCCACCAAGCGAAGCATCATTCTGTGTTGGATGTGGATGGATGGGACTATAACACTAAACACTGTTCTTTTATCAGTGGGTGTTTTGTCTAAGTGCTCACCAGACACACCAACACTCAGAGTTGATACAAACAACACAAACAATAGATCCTGTGCCAAACCAGTAAGAACGCTACAGTGACAAGCCTACAAGCTGCTAGGGGGCGAAAGCTTTGGAATCCAGATGCTGAGTATAAAACAGGTAGAAGCACTTGATTCTTAAAGGCACTCTTGAACTAGGGCTGGGAATTGCCAGGGACCTCAAGATATGATATTATCACGATGCTTAGGCAACGATACAATATGTATTACGATTCTCACGATTCTATATGTATTGCAATTCGATACTGTGATTTCATTGCGACTCAATGTTCCAAACATATTGCTCACCATATGTCTGCTGCAGAAGGACAAGAGAGAGCCATGAGAAAACAAGTTTTGATCAGTCATAGAAATAAAAGCACTGAAAACAAATTGTCTCCCTATTTAAAAAGAAGATGGAGTACAAGCTATGAAGGAAAAATACTGGAGTTTTGGTGCAGGTACAGCCAACTAGCGCAAAAATAATATTGCGATATAGTCCATACAATACATCATCAAAAAATAATATCCCGATATGTAACTGTATCAATTCCCCTAACACTTAACCCTATCCCCTAACGTAACCATAACCCTAAATCAACAACAAAATACTTACTTGTTCATCAGCTCTGACACCAGTGTTGTTCTCTCTAGCATGGCCATCTAGTGACTAACCTATTGTTGCTAAAGCTCCATTGTTGTCCCTGAGTTTCAGGACAGACACGCCCAGCTCTGTCCGTGACTGTCTGTCTGGGGGAGTTACTCATGCAGTGACAAAGCTTCTAATTGATTCTGATCTTACAGGTCACTAGCCTGTCAGAGGGGACTGGGATCTCCCTCACAGCTTGGCAGTAGTACTAGGTTAGGCTATCCTGACTGAGTGAATGGGTGACGTATGACATTAATTGTATCTTACAGCGATCTTATAGAGGTCAAATGGCTATGGCATGCTTGTGAATGGAATCCCCAGACTCCCACCCAAATAGTCACGCACACAGACGTAGTAAGACCTAGCCTGCTTTACTCTGAACAAGCAAGTTTAATGACAAGTGACAAGGGGAGAGAGTTAAGGGGAGAGAGATTTGGAGACATGTTAGGCATTAAGCTATATGAGGATAGCCTGGGTACCAGTCGGTTTGTGCCATCATTCGACTCAGGGCTCTAAAGTGCGATTGATTTGGTTGCAAATGCAACAAGTCTTATTTTAGGAGCACTGTGTGACTAGGAAAAAAATCAGTGGAAGGCCCAAAAAAATGTCTACGCCTCCAGCCTCCCAAATCAGACTGTTCTC